ACTCACTAAAACACACACACACACACACACACCCAAGCCCCCTCCCATAAGCACACACACACACACACACGTGTACGTATAGATGGTGTCCACGTACACCGGGAAGAGGGGCGGCAGAGACGTGGCTCTGGGGGGGCCAGCGGCGTCGTGCTGCCACCGTGGCCCCGCTGCATGCAGGTCACCCTCTGCTGGAGGCGGCACACCTCTAACAACCCTCCCTCCCTCGCTCGCTCCCCCGCCTCCTTCTCTCACACCCCTCTGCCTCTCTTTTTACAACCTATTCACACTGGCACAGACCCACTGCAACACGCTTTTTTTTTTTTTAGATACTTCAACGGGCTTTTGTGAAAGACTTTTTGCAACTCACAATGGAAGACTTTGGCGAGCTGTTCATCTGAAAATAATATAACAATAATAATAATAATATACAACAATATAAATAAACAATAAACATAATAAACAATAAAAATAATTGGAGTTAGTTGGTTTTCCCTGGGCAGTGTCAATGTGCAAAGTGTCCTTCTTGGTAACATACTCCCTATATTTTTTGATCAATGGAGCAAGCAGAAAGCTAAATATTGATGCGATAAACAGTGTCAGGCTCCTTGGAAAGTTGTTGTAGTGGGATTTGAATCAGTCAGAAGTTTTCAGAAGCTGCCGTGTGACGGTTATGAGCCACCTGATGAACTTTTGCCCTCGTGTTCCACATCTGATCGTCAAGTTGTGAGCCTCATTAAGTGAATCAGGTGCTTTACTGTTATTGCACACTTATCAGGAACACGGAAAAGCTCCTTTTAATAATCTAATCACCTCAGTGGGGAGAACAAGCAAGTCAAACTGGGAAGAATCACTGGTTTCCAACACAAACATCAGACTCTATTTATTGAAGCGGATGAGAAGCAGGTGATGAACATTCACAGAAAATTTGTGATATTTGACTGCTGCTCTGTCCTTGAGCATACCGAACATCAGCTATTTCTATCTGATCTTGTAGTAGTTAATGTTCAGTGTCTTTCAATAATTCTAACTCCTCCTGCGAAGGGATATTTTACATTATTAAAATAACAAACTATATTCTAGTCGTTCATTATCAGTTTTTAACAGCAGCGTCCAATAACGGGAGCCCTCAGGAGGAATTATAGTTGCTGGCAAATTTTCCCGTGCACAACTACATTATAGTGTTATTATTAACCGTGTATAAAATGTCCATACGTATACTTGCCAAATTTGGGGGGCCTTCAAAGTAAAGCGTTGCAACTTTCTTTTTCAAAGTTTTTTCAAAGTCCTGAAGCCTTTTGGCAAGCGGTAAACACGCCACGACTCTCCATTTGCACGGTTTAACGTTTTATTATTGGCGTTCATTTTCTGTGTTTGGAAAGTAAAATGCAACATTTTCTCAACAGCATTGTTTTTAACAGCACTGTCTGTGGAGAATATACAGTGAGACTTATTGAATGCAAACAAAATAGGACAAATGGAGAGAATGGTATTGGTTGCACATTTTTGAAAAAGAAAATCCAACAACTATAGTTACATATTTTCCAGGCAACCTGCAAGATTAGGGGGAAAACTACAAGTCATTAAATTCAGAAATTAGGTTGCCATCTGTGTTGTGGCTGGGCATTTACAGTAATTGTTACGGCATGTGGAGCCAACAAGAAAATATCTCCTAAGTGGGTGTGAACTCCTTTTTGGCATTATCAGCAATTCCCCAGCATGCACCTCCCCTATCTGCTGGTCCAAAGGCCATTAATGTTGTTCAGAATTTTAGAGGAGGCTTGTGAAAAGTCATTTGAATGCTTTTCAAATGATTTCCTACAAATTACTACATCATGCAGTTGCCTTTCATCTTCCTATCTCTTTGCCCTCTGTGCTCCTGGTTTTTCTTTCTCCGCCCGTCACTTAAATCTCTCATCCTGGCTTTTCTACTCCCCCCTCATTCATACTTTAAATACCTCCATCTTTGTAACATTTCTATGAAATCCCGCAGGAGCTTCTCCTTACTTCTCCAGTACTCCAGACTATGAACCCAAAAATGTCATTCTTGGATTCCTTCCCATTCGACTAATGCCAAACAAATGTCAGTATCTCAACGTATGAAAACGGTTGTGGCCACACAGGATAATGTGTCGGCGTCTGCGTGAAGAGGCCTCCTCTCTCCCCGTCCCTGTGCCCGGGGGAACGGTTGGTGGGGCCGGTACCCAGCGGCACCGGCAGAACAACATCACGCTGACGCTCAACACGCCGACACCGCTCCGTGTTCTGAGAGAGATTTCAACTCGTAAATGATCTAATCACAACACCGTCATTTGTTTTTAGAACATTTTTACAATCGTTCTTGGGGACAAACTGTCTGACATTTCTTCGAGGATTTCCATTTTCCTTCACAGCCACAATACTACAACATAAATTGTTGCCACAAAGTCTAAAGCTCCACCCAAAATACTGTACGTATATTTTGTCCCCATCTCTCATTTTGTTTCTTTACTTCTGTCTCTTCTCCTTCTCTCTTGTTCTTTCACCGTTGTGGAACGGTTCTGCTTTAATTGCTAATATTAGCTATTAGCTAGTATAGTGCCCAATAACTCATATAGACACATCGAATTCAAATCTTCTTTCCTCCTTTTATCTCTTAAAGGAAACATGATTCTGTCTTCTATCTCACCGTCCATTTCCTTCTCCGTCGTTCCTCCACCACTCCTTTCCTCCCCTCATCTCGCTCCATCTGTCCATAGACAATGTGCCTCCCAGAGTGATCCCATTAGAGGGTTAATGCTGTGAAAAATGACAGTGAACCACCACTTTTGCCGCCATCGCAACCGCTTTGCAGCCACATGCTGCCTACAGCCCTGTTGCCTAGCAACTCCCCAGACAGCTTCCCTGCAAACGGCGATGCCTGCTTCTACGATAGAGTCCCGGGTCTAATGTGCCTTATATCTCATTTTGTCTTATCATTCTGTCATTAGTGACACAGGTTTACTCGGAGCTGTGACTTCTCAAAGAGTGCTGATGCAGAATCGGCCTCCCCGTTATTTTAATTAACGCACGTCAACGTTGATCATTTGCGCAAGTGTGACGTCCTGAAACATTGTTGTCTGAATAACAGATTGCTCAGCCGAAAAACGTAAACAGAGGTGACAAAGATGCAGATGATGCAGTGAAGCTGTTTAGTGTCTAAGTCTTTTCTTCCATAAATGTATGGAAGGCGAAGGGGGTGAGGGACGTTTTTGTATTGCATCATCTTGCCAAAAGTGAGCAGCAGTTTGCAGAATGATTGTCTGTGTTTCTAACATATTTTAAAATAAAATATGAAAAAAGGCTGCCTTGCTCCACTTTCCTGTGTTTCCACCTCCTTTATGGCATTTACAGCAGAAACACTCTACCGGTCCCTTTAAGTGAACAACATCCCAATGGTTGAGTCCCAGAGCACTGATGAGTCACATGGTTTCTGTCGCTGAAGAGGTCGCACGATTGTTACGACAAAGTGTGCGTATTCACTTCCACTGAGGCCATGAGGATCGTCGGCAGATGGTGGGAAAAGTTATGTCTACATCTGAGTTTTAGGGGATTTTGGCCAGCCGGCTTCTCTCCTCATTGCGGGAGTCTTTCAAACAAACAATGTGTGACGTGTCACTTCATACGTAATCCTTTCGAGGGACTGTGTGTTGACAGCAGAAGACCGCAAAGACAGCAGGAGCAAGCAGGGCGAGGAACAGCGTGTGAAAGTTGCATTTCCAAAGCAGAGACGTAGGAATTTAAGCCTGAGCGCCGTACTATAATATAACACTTCAAGGATATCCACAAATGATACAGTTTGGGCACTTTTCTGTTCAACTCTGTTGGGTGAATCACTGCAGCTTTTTAAGCACCAGTTTCCCATTTTAAGTGATCATTCTATAGTGAACCCCTTATTTAAATCCATCAAGGTCATAGAGGAAAGCATCAATAGCTGTAATTTCCATTAATGGGTCCTGAATGCAGAATGTGGGGGTCAAAGAGACCAGTGGAATTAGATTTTGCAACCAAAGAGGGACGTGTATGTGAGTATATTCATCATATGTTGAGAGACACGAAATGCACTGACGAACCAAAACGTTTCCACATCACTCCTTTCCTCATCTCCTCATCAACTCGCTTTCTGCCTTGAAGGAATTTTCTTCTGAACTGAACTTCTGCAAATAGAAGAAGACTATGGCGTAGATGCATGTGCACAAATACACACAAGCACCATCTGCCGAGCCTTGTCTTACTGTAACCAAGCCCGAAGACACACACACACACACACACACACACAGCGAGCAGCATGGCATTATGCCCAGCCTTGCCCCAGGTGTCTCCGTGTTGATATATTGGTGAGACCTCAGATGGATCCATGCAGGGCCGGCTAATGCTCTTGTTAAAAGCTTTTCAAAGCTGCCTAACAGAGAGAGTGAGAAAAGAGGGAGGAGAGGTGACATGTTTTAGCGTATTAATATCAACCTCAGGTGCTAATTTACCCAATAAGTCACATGTGTCACCGGCGCTTATGAAAGACAGCGGAAGTGAACAGAAAGGCAAAGAAATGGAGGAACTAGGGCAGGATGGAGAAACGAGTGAAAGAATGAAAAGAGGAGGTGTAAATCACATTAGCGAATAAGCTTCATTAGTCATGCCCATTAGTGTCCTAAGCGTGGATTCATTTAACTTCAGCCGGCTTCGGGGATGCCCAGTGGCTGTGATTGGATGCAGTTTGATTACACACCTGAATGTTTGATCACTAACACGCGTTATTCTGACCGGCAGCGGAAGGTCTGCGCAGCTTTTGACCCAGAATGTTAAATTAGAACTTCCTCTAAAAAGGAAAATGAACGTGAAAACGTGCTTCTTTCTTCAGCTGGATCGCTGGTTTTCTCCATCTGTTTCTTACTGTACACTTTGCTTTTTTTTTTTGTTCACCTGCCTTACTTTTCAGAAGTTTGCACTAAATATTCGTCCTCTGCGTGTGTTTGTGTTGTCAACAGGCCGACCCCCAAGGCCGCGACATAGCCATCCGTCCCTTCTTGGAGCACTGTGAGAACACCCACATGACCATTTGGCTGGGTATTGTTTACGCCTACAAGGGACTGCTAATGGTGAGAGGAAAGGGTCAACATTTTATCACGTACCCACAGTGAGCATCATATACACACATTTACACTATGAATGTGCTCTACAAATGTACTGTATGCGCAGAGTCTGAGTGAAAAAAATATTTTTGAAAAACTAGACACGAACTCCGACAGTAATCCAATCAAATGAGATTTAGGGTGCAAGCTTGTGTAAAACCGCTCCTGACCATTAACTGGTGTGAGAAGGAAGATGCCACTTGTACCAGCTGTCCATGCAAAGTCAAGTCACATTTATTTATTTATTTATTCAGCCCAAATCACAAATTTGCCTGAATGGGCGTTACAGTCTGTACACCTTCTATATTTAGACCGTCTGTTCAAATGAGGGAAAGAAAAGCTTATCAGCGAATGAAAGGAATAACGAACCACAAGAGGAACAACAGAGGACTCTGAAGGCCAAATCGCATCTTCTGCTATTCATTATAACCATCTGTTGTTGGGACGTAATAGTTTCTGGACGAACAGACATGAAATACGATGTGTTACTGTGGATGTTAAGTACATGCATACTAAACAAGTTTACATATAAAAAAATATGGATTAGGGAAAAGTTCAGCAATTTCTTGGTGCTGCCAATACAGGAAGGACTTACATGCACTCTGTTTTATTTTGTATTAATTCAACGCACAAGACACTGTATAAAGTGGTAATCAGTGAGGTTTATAGAGGATTTTATTACCTTATGATTGACAGCTAGCTGCTCTGCCATTCGTCCAGTCTTTATGCTAAGCTAACTGGTTACTGGCTCCAGCTTCAACAGACACATATGACAGCACCGCAGATCTTCTCATCTTAACATATGAGTTAGGAAAGATTGTATTTTTTTGTAAAAAACAAATGACTGTCTTTTTGTCTCGCAGTACTCCATCTATGAAGAACGATAGAGAGCGGTGTTCAAAGAATATTCAGATACACTCATACATAGTCTGTTTCACCATTTCTCAAACATGTTCAATGAAAAGCAAATGTTAATCATCCTCTTTCTCCCCCACAGTTATTTGGCTGTTTCTTGGCCTGGGAGACCAGGAACGTGAGCATCCCTGCTCTCAATGACAGCAAATACATCGGGATGAGCGTCTACAACGTGGGCATCATGTGCATCATTGGTGCCGCCGTGTCTTTTCTCACCAGGGACCAGCCCAACGTGCAGTTCTGCATCGTGGCACTGGTGATCATCTTTTGCAGCACCATTACGCTCTGTCTGGTCTTCGTTCCCAAGGTCAGTGTGTGTGTGTGTGTGTGTGTGTGTGTGTGTGTGTGTGTGTTATGTTTTGGGTCACAAACCAGTCCCGTGTCTTACACGTGTAGCCTTTCTCCTCCATAAAGCTTTATATCAGAGTGAAGCTCACTAAAACCCCAAACGCCTCTTCCAGTTAATCACCATGAGGACCAACCCCGACGCAGCGACCCAGAACCGCAGGTTAAAGTTCACCCAGAACCAGAAGAAGGAGGACTCCAAGACCTCCACCTCAGTCACCAGCGTCAACCAGGCCAACACTTCGCGGCTGGACGGTCTTCAAACTGATAACCACCGCCTCCGTATGAAGATTACAGAGGTCTGACCTGAAGAATAACGTTCACGTTGTACTTTCATTTTTACGTTTATTGTCATTTCACAAAACAAGACAGCCATGCAGAGGGTTTCAATGCAATAGGTGCATAAAAGCTTTTTGCAGTTGAGCACAAGTTGAACAAGAGAAGGAAGAAAAAGCCGATCATTCAACTAGCTCACCATTTAACTGCCTCGCCTTAGTCCACTTTCAAATAGAATTTACTTAATTTGTAATAGCGAAGCAATTCTGACAGAGATGCGGTTGTTACCTTCTCTCCATTTCATTGCCTTAAAATGCTCGCATGGCTCTGCACTGACATTGAGTGACTGAAAAACAGAAAAGCACTATTTTTTTTCTGTGATTTGTGTAATTAGGGACTGTTCAGTTTCTGATCACAATACACTCGCTGTACTAATCATTGGTTTCACCCTCTTAAAAAAAAAAAACATGAACTAATACTTTCTTGTTTAAAAAGCTGGACAAAGAGCTGGAAGAAGTGACCATGCAGCTGCAAGACACCCCAGAGAAAACTCCCTACATCAAACAGAACCACTACCCGGACGCCAACAACATCCTCAGCATACGCAACTTCACAGACGGCAAAGGTGAGAACTGGCTCGATGGCGTTCTGTCGCCCATTGTATCCATTCAGTAGATAGAAAGCACTTATTCAATGTTTCATCGGGTAGAAAACTGCAGCAATACCAATACTGATATCATATACCGGATGCCATTGTTTTAATAAATAACAATCCAGTCCATCTCAGTCTCTACCACATAGTGACACATACATAATCAAACACGTATCAGATCGTGCTTTCTAACGGCAGATACCTAAAACACACGAGTCGTACCGGTATGAAGACTAAAGGAGTGGGATCTGCTCACCCCGAATAGTTGGTCCCCCCTGTCGGCGGGGAAACAGCTTTTACGCGTGTTGATGCCAGACGGCGCGCTTCCTCTCTAACGCGCTGAAGCTGCTCGGCTGAACTGTTTGATGCCGCTTCGCGCAGACGGAGCTGGAAACCCCCAAAAAATGAGCAGCTCGCTAAGATGCAATTCAGTCCTGCCTCACCTCAATTTAGCGTGATGCGATTTATTATGAAGTCATGTGTATGGCTGTGATGAGATGCTGAGCACGTTCGTCTGTTTGGCTTTAGTTTTCCCGTCACGTTCGCATATTCGGCTGGCTTTTCCTAAAAGTGTCGCGTCTTTTATTCCGTTGCCGGAGCTCCTGTCAGCTGCAGGTGAAGAAGGAACACACGGGGACTTTGTCTGACAGCAGGTCCGTGACGTTTCCTGGGATGAGTCATGGGATCAGTACCTGCACACGCCGCTGCTGCTTAGCACGTTCTACACGTACTATAGTCACACTTCTCTCCCACCTTCATTGTTAAGCCGCTCTTGATTTTACACCTAATAATTGTGGCCTGTTGTTTGTCTGTGTGGTGAGGAGGTGGAGTTGAGGTGAACCAGCATTGCGTGAGAGAAACGCAAGGTGCTGAAATCTAAAGATACGTGTCGTGCCTCTCTGTTGTTCACCGCCCGGGCTGTTTGAGTTCCTGCAGCTGTGTCTGTGACATTATCAAACCGGCGTCCTCAAATTGAATCGGGGAATCCTCACACCCCCCCAGCAGCATGGCTCTGCATGATGCACCGTCTTAACAGATGCGCAGTGATGGCGACGTGATGAACGGCAGCCGGTTTCGGCGCATTTGACGCACACGCCAGAACAAAGCTGCTCTCAAGGAATAGATCCTTCTCAGTTTGGGAAGGCATCATTCCGCAGTTCCAAAGCAGGCTTGTTTGAGAAGTTCTTCATGGTAATGCAGACTGAAGGCCGTCAGTCACTCTTTTCACCCGGGGCAACGTCTCAGATGCCTCCTAATTGTCTTTTAGTTTGTTCTGCTTCGTTCTGTGTCTCCTTCTTCTCCGCCTTACACACTTAGGTTTTAGCTGTGTTACGTACAGGTACAAAATATCTTTGGACTGCGAGAGGAAGCCGGAGAGAGAATGTGTGAATTTGTCATATTTCAAAACCTGCGGGGAAAGGAGCGAATACATTTCCCACGGCCACCACTTGGAGTTGGTAAAAAGAAAAGTTTAAAAAGAAAAATACAGGTAACTGTTTTTTGGCCTCGTCAAAGTAAGAATCTCAGTTTTAGACTGACCTCGCTATTACTTCTACTGAAGTGCACACGATAATGATCTTGTGAGAAGAGAAGGAGGAAGAGAGATGAGACAAGGAGAGACGGCACATTAGATGCTGCTCAGAAACATCAATCTGACATTATGGAAATAAAATCACAGGCCGCTAAGCCGTCTTCAAAGATCACCGGCGTGTAATCTTTGCTCGGCCTCATCTGCTTTTGCTTGGCAGTCATTAACATGGTCATCACCGTCTTCATCGCCTTCATCGCCTTCATCGCCGGCGCTGAGCTGCAGTCATCAGCATTCATAAGAAAGCTGGTTTAAATGTTTTGAGGTCCGTGAACGAGTCGCTGTTATAAGTGTAGAACGCCGTGTCAACAGCGATTACCCTCACTGAGAGGCCTCTCCCTCCCTCTCTCCCTCTCCCTCCCTCTCCCTCTCCCTCCCTCCCTCTCTCTCCCTCTCCCTCCCTCTCTCCCTCTCCCTCTCTCTCTCTCTCCCTCTCTAACCACAGACGCCGGTAAACTAAGCAGCAGTCTGCGGTCTATTGACATTTGAAGAAAAAAATAACTCGACAACCGTATATTTTCTATGCGACATGAACGTCTTTTCTGAATACGTACGAGTGTGAACACATCTGTGTCTGGGGCTTTGAACACATCTGTGTCTGGGGCTTTGAACACAGCTGTGTGTTTTTCTGTGATGCACGGAGGACGGGTTTGCTTTAAAACAGGAAGGTCAGATGTCCAATCGGCGCATGGAGTGATGTGATCAGTGAATCGGGTCAGCAAACGCTGGGAACAACTGCGGATAAAACTGAAGAGGGGAAGTGATCAACATGTAAATGAGAAGGCTGTTTACAACAATTCTCATTGGGTTTCAATCTCTTATTTGACTCTTTCTTTGTCTTTGCGCGCGTTACCCGGTTGTCCCAAACTTGTCGGTCCTTATCTGGGTTTTCTTATCACCCTGCATATATAATGTCATAGATTATGCATCTTTTTTACTTTTTGGGTAAAAAAAGAAATAAACCGAGGACATATTAGTAGGTCACTATTGTGAATAAGCCAAATGTGTCTTCACATTTGAGGCTGTTTACAACAATTCTTATTATTACAGGGATGTCAATTGATTTGATTTATTTGTTATTATCTTTGCTGTAGATAGAAACATATATGTATCATTCATTCAGTGATTGAGGGGTGAATCATTGTTTTCTGGGGGATTGTGGATTCGTTTGAGGAGTGTCCATGTTTTGTATTTTGCTTTGGTTCTAGTCCCTTCAAAGTATCTCGTCTTAATAAACTCTAGTGGTGGTACTTTGGTGGTGTGAATGAAAAAGAACATTGCTAATAACCCTTCTCAAACCAGGAGATGCAGGTAGTCTTAACATGCCATGCTACCAGGATCGACGTATTGTTATTGCTTCAGCGTGGTATCAGGATCGATGGAACGCCATATAGATCCAAAAGTACCTTCCAAGTGCAAGAATACGCAACCTACTAGAGAAACAAATGCCTTATTAGCACCAAAGGCCGGCCTGTAAAAGTCCCTTGAAGTCACATCCCAGATGCCCGGCCCGTGAAAAGCATCTCAGTAAAGTATGACGGCCCATTTGAAACGACCCATCGTATTCATAACAATGCCTACATGTGTTTTTCATCCAGATGGAGAGAAGTCAATATTGAAGAATCACCTGGAGCAGAAGCCTCAGGCGCAGTGGGGCTCCATGGATCCTTCCAGAATAAACAGAGGTCCCCTCGAGGACATCAACTCGCCTGAACAGTGAGCTCTTCTGCTTCCTCGGCACCTGTCCCCTCTAATGTCCCTCTCCCTTCCACGCGGTCGCTTCAGCTTTTTCATCAGACTCCGAGTTACACGTGTCGCAACCGCCAGCAGTTCTCAGGCGGTTGCCCTGGCAACAGATCGGTCCTGTAGTTTTGTCTCCCACGCACATCAACATACATGTAACCAAATTACGTTCGGATCCTTTGTCCCGCTGTGTTGGTGACTTACTGCAGCACATAACGAAACACACACACACACACACACGCGCGATTGATTCGTTGTCAGAGAGGATGGCCTCAGAAGCTTGTGACACATCTACATTTACTTTGTATTCATAAAAAAAGCAAAGCTGAAGGATGTCGACTTCATCAATGAAGGAGTAGAAGGGGAGGGAGGGGGAGGGGGTCACTTCATGCTTCATCGAGAGCCCTCAATCCCACACTTGTTTTAACTAGAGCCAGGAGAAGAATGCGGGACATAGAGGGACAGATGGACATGGGACAGACAGCCGACGGGGGAGGGCGGGGGACAATATCGTAGGGCAGTTACAGAGAGAAGACGGATTACCGCGGGAAGGATGTTTAGATTGCGAAGAGAACGAGATGAAGATGAGGAGGAGAAAAGGGAAGGAGTCACAGGGGCTTATGTAACCAGTGATTTAGAGTTCGCATTGGAAGCAGCTCTGGAAATAGACAGGGAGGAGAAGTAAAGGAACACTTGGAGCTATTCCCGTGCCGCATAAATGTTTGATCACCCGGGGGGGGGGGGGGAAGAGAGACAAAGAGGCAGCGAAAGAGACAGGAAGAGAAAATGTCTAAAAGATGTGAGAAAACAGAGGAATGGCAGCAATAAAGCTAGAGGACATCAAAACATTAAAACACAAAGGTGTTTCCATCACAAATAGAAAGGTCAGGACAACGGACTATGCCTATTAATAATATGAGCTTTTCTCTGTTCGATCTATCACTGATTGAGCTCGGATTTCATTACACCCTTTTCCATATTTTACATAACTGCCATTTGGTTATGTAAATGTCTTACAAACGGCTGGCAGCGGCAGTAGGTGAGAATTGTCACAGGAGGCGGAAGCATGAAATGTTCTTTTTGTCGTATGATCCCAGAAGCTGAGAGGCACAGCGGATTAGGGTTTAGTGAGCAGAAGTGGAGAAAGGAATCGAGGGTGCTGAAGAATATCGGAAAAAAAACTATTGGAAACAAGCTGATGTCTGCATGAAATACGCTTCGCCGGTCTGTTTTGCCATTTTGAAGAGATGTACGTTTGATAACTCACCACTTCACGGTACAGTGAGAGATTGCGTCAGGATTATGTGATTTATAGTTAATAAAATATGTAAATGAAAGTCCAAAATCATTCCACTCAAAGTCTTTGCCATTGCAGATAGAAGAAAAGATGTCAGAGCGAGTGGGATTGCAGGGCTTCCAACTTTTATTCAAAAGTCACAGAGAATAAAAAATACACATGCAAAGTATCGGTATATTATGCTTCTGTGTACTTGAGTAAATGTGATTAGTTACTGTCTCTATTCTAATCTGCAGCATACAGCGTCGACTGTCCTTGCAGCTCCCCATCCTGCACCACGCCTACCTCCCTTCCATAGGAGGCGTCGATGCCAGCTGCACCAGCCCCAACGGCAGCCCTGGTTCCAGCCCACGGCACAGACACATGCCCCCCTCCTACCGGGTTATGGTCTCTGGCCTGTGAGCTCCTTTCACCCCCGACCCCACCCTTCTCCACCCCCCCTCACCCTCCAACCACCACCTGGCTCTTTGCAAGAGGAGACATGTATGGTTCTGTTTTTTCTACAACAAATAGACTGATGTCGCCAGCGTATGTGCGTATTTCGTCTCAGAACAAGGAGGACCGGGGGGGAGGGGAGGAGGGGAGGAGGGGAAGGGGGGGGACGAGTATGCTTCTTCACCCCAGCCTCTCTTGAAAACTGAACCCCCCCCCCCTCCCTCAGTCAGGAAAGGGTGGGAGGAGACAGAGTGGACACTACATGACTCTTATGAACTCCCTGCAAGGCCCTTGTTCATCTGCTGGGCAAGTACACACACGCATATTTACACAAACACAAATACACACACACACACACACACTCACAACAGCAGACACACTGACGCCCCAATAGCAGAAGAGCGGCGGACCAGCCCCGACCTGACGTGTAGCCTTATCTGCTTCAGAGGGGATTTGTCTTTTTCTGTTCCTTATCGGTTGTGTGAATGTGCTCGCGGCGACGCGTGAGCTTGTCAGAGTATTTCACCGCTTCAGTGACTGGATACCAGTCTGGAGACATGGATTTTTACAAAAACCCAACAATAGAAATCACCCCCCCCCCCTTCCCATTATTGTGGAGACATGTATATAATGATCATTTCTGACTTTGATGTAATGTACGCTTTGTATATGATGTGAATGGAAAATTAAAGGGGTTCTAAATGTAGAGCTTGTAACAGAAGCGGGTGATCATGACACGGGACCCCACAGAGAATCACACACGCGTCTGGAGGAGATCTGAACTGGTTTGTGTAACCGTTGATAATTTAACGTATGGGCAGCAAAGTGAGAAACGTCGCAAGCTGCCTGTTCTTCTTAACTCGGAGAAAGACACGCGTGGCTCGGTTTCCACTTTGCTAAATTGGCACCACTGGTTTCATCAGAGAAGTCCCACCAGACTCTGCATGGGCCTTTCATATTTTACAACTGGCTTAATATGTCCTCAGAAAGCATGTCGTACAGAATGCTGACGCTACGCCTTTTAACAGATCTCCAAGACTGCATATCTTTAGAAAATGGAGCTTAAAGGCACAAACAGAGTTGTTGTTCATGTGTGTTTTACGCCAAGAAACGCACACATTTTTTTTTCATCAGCGCGTAAGAGGGGCTTGCTTTTGAGACGAGGCGTTCGTGCCAGTGACTGGTCATATTGATCCCCACGGAGTGTCCTCCGTCGACCGTTACGACGTCCATCCGATCGAACCCTCACAGCTGACCAGCATGCCTTGATGTCAACGGCGAGAGGGCACAATTACTTTGCGGGGGGGGGAAACAACACTCAAGGGGGCGGGGGGGGGGGTGTATTTATTTTTTGGGGGAGGGAAAGAGAATAGCCAGGACCCACTTTGTTCTGGGTGCACAGCATCCTCGCGATCATCCAACAAGGGGTAGATCTGGCGGACGCCTGGCGTGTGGAAAAAACTGCTGTAGCGTTCAGTTCAAAGACTGTGACGACACCAGCTGCTTGGTCACATTGATGGAGCATAAAGCACAGACACGGGCCTTTATGTCACTTTGCGCTTAGCAACGGCGAGCGTGCCTCAGTTGCTACGGAAATATAATTCAGTGCTGTTGAACGGGGACCAAGAAGGCTGCGCCGAGCGAAACGGTCATTTACGCGGTGTCGCCCCCCCTTTGTTTGTGTTTTTTTGTAAACTGTCCTCATGCAGGAGAAACTCAAAGAGACTGAGGAGAAAAAGGACTTTTTATGGAGTGCGAGGTGGTTGTTCTTAGCATAAGTTTCACCGTGGGTGTCTTGGTTTTTAGTTTTGAAGGCGTTGGTTGAACGCCGTGCCTGTTGTCTTACTATATTGTAGCCTGCGGGACCCTCCAGTACGTTTGGTAATTTGGCGCCGAACCCCCCCCCCCCCCCCCCTCCCTCCCGGCGAGCTACGTCGTCTGTAAACTGTACAACGTGTCATCGATTTCTTTCAATTCAATTGCCTCAATGCATGGGACGGTGGGGGAGAACTCGTCCGAAAGCTCCACTTCAGCCGGAGTGGATTTTCCTCTGCAAGTTGACGTCTGATCATGAACACTGTCTTTAGTCGAAAAAGGCCGGTCGAGGACACCGAGGCGGAGCGGGACATGTCCACCCTCTCGTCCCGTCCATGAGAGCTCTTCCCCTTCCTGCCACCCCCCACCCCCCGCTGAGGTCGGGAGCAGAGAAGCCCCGATCCACAGACGTCCCAGGAGTCCCGGCCCGTCCCGGCCCGTCCCGGCCCGTCCCGCACCTTTTGTCCACCAGAGAATCACGGCCGAGTGAGAGACACTGTCAGAGGGTCGGTTCTCCCGTCAGGAGAGGAAAAGCCAACTGCACATTTTATATATTACATTATATGTGATTGTGTACAATTTGCTGAGGCCCCCCATGATGGCGTCCGCGTATGGAACGTTTGGTATTTGGCTTTTCTCAAGACGGCATGAAATGAAATGTATAATTCACAGAGTTACCTCTGTTTTTTTTTTTTTTTTGCAAACGTCGTGACGAATCCACTCTGTCCTTTTCATCTTCCCACCAACAATTTAGATTCATGCGTTTGCTGAGGAATCGTTATTTTAACCTGTTGATCAGCTCACTCATGTCAATGCCAAGATTCTCAGTGGACTCAACATCATCATACCTACTGTGCTACTGGTTTAGCACTTATTCACTGAGGGCAATAAAGTGGAAGTAGCAGCAAACGATCAAACCTAATAACCCACTCCTGGCATTTACCAAATTACAAAATGACTTTTTTTGTTTTTAGTTAATCTAAAATGCCAAATGCAGATCATCAGGTATTGTTCTGTTTTTTTTTTCTTTTTGCAGTGCCCTGCTTTTTTTGTTGTTGTTTAGATTAATTTCAAACTTTTTGAATGAAAAAAAAAAGGATGACACATCGTTCAGATGCAATTTTGGTAGGTCAAGGGCTCATAATTTCCTGTAATCAATAATGTCATGCCAATGGTTTGTATTTGCCACGGGTCTTTCTACCGTTTAGGTTTGCAGACCAAAGTGAGATGTGCGTATATAATTCTATCTTGGTATGTGTCATTATCAGGGTTTCTGGAGAACACCAAAACATACATGTCCAAAAATATGACGCATATACGTAGTGGAGAAACACACCGGTCCATGCCGTTACTGTTTTGTCAGTTTGATATTTGGTATCACATGGGAGCTCAGTTCAAGTAAGAGTTTGAAGAAAAAAAAAACTACAATTAATGCAACATGTTCAAGAGGGGCAATAACTTGTTTTAACTAAAACATAAAAAATAGAAAACTATATATATGTATATGTAAAAGATCTTTACGTACATTCTCATTTTACATAGGAGATATTTCACTAATATGCCACAAGGATACTTGGTCTTTTTTCTTTTTTTTTTTTACAGTATCTGTAACTATGTTATGTACAGATGAGGTATAGATATGAAAAAGTTGTATAAAATAAGTATCACACTTGGAACACCTGAACATTTTTTGAAGCCATTAGTTATGGGGGGGATTTGAATAACATTCTTCTTTTATTGTCTAAATGTTATGAACAGCCTTTTACTTTTCACATCATCGTCAAATAAAGTGAGACAGAAAATAATCCTTTATGTATTAAGATCATTCCTGGTGTTCAGTGTGCTTACATATCGTTGATCCACACGCAGGCGACCAATGAAGAAATCAGTCCGGAATGTGCTTTTTTCAGGTTGCTTAAGGTAGATGACACATAAATATGAAGCAATTAAACCCCCAACCTTTATTGTCATCCAGCAACAGAAATGCTGCACAGAATACTCTCTCATACTACCTCACTGCCCGTTTGGTCATTTAACACTTGACTTTTGACTTTTAATGGCACACTTAAAGTGTGATGGGTTTTAAAAAACATTTTTCGAAATACTACACAAATTCTCTGATTTATATTACTCATTTTAACATTTTTCTTTAGATACTGTGACATTTATGACGTACAATGGAATGGTTTTATATATATTTGGACAAGTTTTTCAATGCTTTTGTTGACTATAAATACTATACTGACCTTTGACCTATGACTTTTTTTGTCATACTATAGTTTCCAATGAGCATTTCTCTGACATACCACACTGACTTTATTCGACATGCTATTCTATAAGTCTTTAATCATGTTTTCCTGAGGTACTATATTTAATATTAAAATATTCAGCAGCAAATTCTAATTCAACAAACAGCGGCCCTATTTTCTCAATTTATAGCATATATAATCAATACTCATTCTATAGTTTGTTTACTATTTTAGTGGGCATATTAAAAAAAAAAAGACATTCCAGCTGTTTCCCCATTTCCTTTATTTAAATATTGTTCATACATCTCAGTACGGAATCAAGCAAACCTTTAAAACCGCGACGCCTCTGCTGCGGCTTGATAAGCGCAGACTCTGCCCGGCTGCAGTGTGCGTGGATGCTGCGTGACCTTCCCTCTTGTCCCGGCGGGATCACGCAGTGCAAATAAAAGGCGGGTTGATTAAGTTGACCCCCGGTGTCACATGTGATGGCCCCTCGGAGAAAAAGAGGCTTGGTTGAAGACCAGGATGGCAAGTTTACAGCCAATGTAGAGTATCTGTACACAGATGCACGTTTGGGCCCCGTTGTTGTGAGGATTGAGACGAAGAGGGATACACGTCAAGTTCAGAAGAGCTTCTGAGACAGCTTCATGTCACAACTGTACTTTATGATGGGCTATACACTTTTAAATAACTGTGATAAGCCAGCAACCAAAATTGCGGGTTTCCAGATGTGATCCCTACTTAGAATTATGTCAATATAAACACTTATAAAGAAAAGTAGTCTTGAGCGCATTGGAGGACAAAAGGAGGAAACGTATCTCAGCTCCTCACACAAAATGTGTCGATGTAAAGCTCAACCAAGGTGATTAGTCCAGTTTAAATTGAGATGTTCCTGATAGTGATTGGATTATTACACTCTGGCATCCGTTAGGTGGGTAATCCCTTGATGTACGGCCGGACTGTCCCAAGACCTCATCTCACCTAAAAACAGCCATTTCTCGGAGAGCGGTCGACTGATGTCTCCATCCAGACCAGGACACGTGATTAGAGTGAGTTATGGGCAGCAGTTACGATCCCTTGCAGGTTAATTTATGGCTGACATAACGATGGCACACTCAGCTGAGCCCATACTAGATATACGACGCGCTTCCTCTGCCCTTGAGAATTCCGCAGAGCCTCCAAAAGCAGGCGTAGCGTGATCTATTTAAGCTGCCGTGTTCGATAACTGGAGTCCTAAATTGATTGATCCTAAGCTACTGCCTGTAACAAACAAGGCACTTTATTTACTGCTTGCAATCTTCAAATTCATGTTTCCAAAAAAGAGGGTTGAATAAGGATAACAAGGTGCAAGAGAACAGGATAAAAAAAAATTGGCCATTTTTCCCCTTTAATGTATATTTTTCAGTAGAAATACGATTGGTGATCAATGACTGCAGATCAGAGTAACAACCCCCCAAAAATGGAAACAACTTCCTAGTTTCATACATTTCTTTGCTGGGTCCGTATGTATTTTCAGCTATTATGAAAGCCGCTCTGGAAATGTAACAATTAGTAAACAAATACCTAAATAAATAAAAGCAACATGACTTTGAAGTGAACCTAAAATAAACCAAAGGTACCATGTGGAGCCCTGTAAATCATGGCTATGACCATTCATGTTTTTTCATCTCACACCACCTTGTAATTAAGTTTTTGGATTTTACAATCCCCGGAACTTGTTGAACTGCGAGACATCTTTATTACATTTACATTTTTATCATGTTTGATTTGTCATAAAACAAATCTGTGTGATTACGCTCCCGTATAAATATTAACTTGTAGAAGAATAATCATCACAGCACAATCGGCTCATGGCGTTTTTTTAAACCATCTTCCTTCCATCCGACGTGCTCAGCTGCGTGCCGGCAGACTGCAGGGCTCGTGTGCCGGGGGGTTTGTCCTCGACTGACCCGTGACTTAACTCGCCGTCTCTGTGTTTGAGTGACATGCCAGCGAGCAGCTGCGGCCCTCAGTCCAAGCGTCTCTCTGCGTGAGAGACACAGTAGTGTCACCGTTGCTGGTGCTAAAGAGCCCGTCTGTTGACGTTGAAGATTTTGACAGAGTGGTCGGCGCTGGCGCTGGCGAGCTGCACCCAGGAGTCCTTCTCTTCAGCTTCCCCCTCGCCGCCATCCTGTCCACCCGGCCTGTTGTTCTCGTGACCTACTCGGCCGGGCCTCGGCCTCCAGCGGAGCCTCTTCACTGTCAGAGCGTGGCTCTGTCTGCGAGGGTGCATGTGATGAAGGGAAAAAACGAAACAACCCTGGACGATGGACCCACACGGCAATCGGTCCTCCTCGAACATAAAACACAAGATAATCCCGTGCGTGTGAGTAACAAAAGTGTAGTTATGAGCACAACTGAAGCCTGAGGGCCTTTCTAATAGGGCCTCTGTCCTTGGCTAATCCAATGGCTGCTGCCCGGCTAAAAGAAACATGGCCGTTCAAATCAAGCTGCCCGCTGCCTTTTTCCCCCCTTGAGTGATGCATAACGGAGCGTTTCCGCCATTAAACCGAAGCCACGCTACAGTTACTGGGTTACGATGCGCCATTCAAATCAAACGCCAAGAGCCATCCGAGGCATTTCAAAGGGACGTGCGCTTCAGGGGAACGTTTGGGCTTGTAAGGATACAGAATGTCAGTTTCGCCACAGCTGCTCCAGTCGTGTCCTCCGGCGGGCTCCCGGACGGGGCTCCACTTGTACAGCAAGATCCTGCCGCACTCCAGGCCCACAGCAAGCAGGTAGCTGTGGAGGGAGCCAAGGAACGAACACACACACACACACACACAAAGTCAACTCACAATCACTGATGGTCGAGAAAATAGAAAATGTGCAAAATTGACATACAGCAGCACATCTTTGACTTCATATTACTGATATTTTCACCACATTGAACTCTACAGGATTCAAATGTTTCAGCAGGGGGCTTCACATCTTAAATGACCAACTTTTAGATGAATGTCTATTAGATCGGTTTTTGTGCAAAATTATAATATCACATAGAAATGTGAAAGTTATTTTAATAGATATGTTAAAATAACTTAAGATACTGCGCTTACAGGAATGGTAGGGAGGGACCATCCAAAAAATATACAGCCTGGTGCGTGTGTGTGTGCGTGTGTGCGTGTACCTGTTATTGCTGCAGAGAAAGGGGCAGAAAGCAACAGCCGTAGCAGAATCTCCCACATCCAAGATGGAAGAACACGGTTTTATCTCAGGTGGAAGTACAGAGTCTCTGGATTCCTCTAATCTGTGTGGCGCCCACACAATCACCTGGACACACACACACACACAAATATATGCTCAACACAAATATGCATTCATTACCTCGGATACCTTAATATGCAACAGTTACCTCAAAAGGGTCGACTCACCTTCTTGTCCCGACTGGACGTCACAAAGTATTTGCTGTCTGGGCTCCAGTCACATGACCAGATGATCCGGCTGTGTATGGCCGTGTCCTTCCCCGTATGTGCGTGCAGCGAGAACAGAGGATCTGCGTGGGCACAAACAAACAAAAAGTCTGCCTCAAAATGCTGTTCCAACTCTGCGTATCGGTGGTCACATCTCTCAGACGCCGAGGAGTTGATTATTGGAGCGTGACATCAGCACGTCTGGACCCCCCCCCCCCCCCCAACAACCCAACAAGATGGAGAACCTCATTCCAGCCAGTTTTAGTTTATGACCTGCTGCTTGTTTATTTCACCAGCCCAAGTCATCGCGGGCACCAGGAGGATTTTCCCCGGGGAGCTCGTTTGTATGCTGGTGGCAGTCGCCAGTCTGCGTGTTTGCTGCTCTCCACTGGCTCTCGAACAGACAAACACACAACCAAACTAGTATGGACACACAGCTGGAAAACCTCTGTTTCCTCAAAATAATATGTCCATAAAACACACACACACACACACACACACACACATTTAATGCGTGTTGTTTGGGAAGATCATTTGAGGACAGGCAGGAAAGCTGCTCAGTCAGAGATGGAGACGGTCAACGTGGATAAAAACTGACATCAAAAATTGTGCAAAAGATATGAAAGAAGCACATAAAAAAGGGGAGAAGAGTAAGTGAACCGCGTCGCGAGGATGTAATTAGACAAAACGGGTGAGCGAAAAAGGAGAGACACGGGAGAGGGAGAGAGTCCGCCTGTTAGATCAGCATAACTTACTTCATTTGACCTTCCCTGGTCTTGTCTGAGAGACAGTGTGTGTGTGTTCTTCCCAATCACCTTGAGTGATTCAGCAGCCAACCGTTATAGACGGAGGCCCCTCCCTTCCTCCGTCACTAAGCATCCCTGCCTCGGCGCCGTCCACCTTACAGGCAAACAGGAAAGTGCGGGCCTGCTCAGACCAACCATAGCCGCCAAAGGAGCTGGAAAATGAGTTACCGGGTTCAGGTAGGAGGTAATCCTCTGGGCTTAAATGTCATGTTCCGCTCACCTTGGATGCAGGATTGGGTTATTTGTCAGAGTCAAGGTGCACAGATTCTCTCAAATAAGCAAACTCCACTGGAGCACACCGGAATGCAAAGCATTCATGTACTGATCCCACTTTTCTGCTCTTTCCAGGCTTCAACTATCTTGTCTAAAGAGGTTTATGACTATTTATATACAATGAAAGTGAGTGTTTGATGTGAATCCTGTAGTTCGGTTACTGATCTCTGGGAACATATTGAAGAAATTACACTTTACTTACTCCGATTTACAGCAAAATGTAGGAAGATGCAAGAAGCAGTTTGTAGGATTTAGAGGCAGTAGCGGTGAGAACGCTGATTGCATCCAACTGAATGGGTGAGCTTCTTTATGTTCAAATCAAAGTATATATAACATGCAAAATCAAGTCGCAGTGGAGAAGCTCAGGTTTCGCTTGAGAAAAATCCATTTCTCAAACACTAAGAAGAAACTGTCAAAAAACAACGGTTTCTCCAATCATTAATGTGGTGAACAGCTTCATCTGAAAAAAGGTCAAACTGATTAAATGAGTAATCCTAAAAAACAAGTATTTCAGATTCATCTTTGCAAAAAACAGGCCTCTGCACAACCGATGTGAGGTATTTCTTCAAATAAGGGATCTCTAGAAAAGTATTTACACAATTGATAGTTTCTCTTTTCCACTCATGTCTAGGCTTTGCTGTACCTACTATTCGAAGTATTATCATCAATACGTTATGGGGGAAAGCTAGTCAAATTAATATTGTGATCAATTTATAAAACAAATCATCTTTATTAGCATCACTTCTTTCAGTATTAATAAGGGGACCCTTTCTAATTAGGCCAGCTTGACTTGCATTTTGATTTGGAACAAATGGGTCCCGTGGATTTACCTTAATTTAATTAATTCATCTGGTGTTGGTTTGAGCTCGTGCCAGTAAGGCTCCAATGTTCCAATGGCAACACATTTTTAATCAAGCTAAATTGATTCGAAAAAGCACCAGGAAGAACTATTAACTGGTCCTGAGCTGCGGCAGCCAGAGGAGACAACTCCTTGGTCCTTCTCACCTGGACTATTCGGTGTGAGAGGGTTCCGTCTCCACAAAGACACCGTGCGATCCCGGGAAACCGCCAGGAGGAGTTGTGCATCGGGGGAGAAGGCCATCTGGGTGACGGTTAGCGTGTGGCACGGCAGCGTCTGCAGCTGGCGCCATGACGCTGTGCTCCACAGCAGGACTGCTGCATGCTCGGCTTTAGATGCCTGCAAAGACGGCGCTGAATCATTTTATCTGTATAAGTAGAAATACTTTTCTTTGTCTTTTACGCATTCGTTTCTCATCATTTTTTACACATTCTTCTGTCTTTTCTCTCCCCACCTTATTTTTTTTTCTCCAGTGGCGGTTGTTTCAAAAAACACTACAGAAAGCTTAATTGCTTGCTTGCTTGTAGGAAAACATTCTTTAAATGCAGTGGAGGGTTGAGGATTGCTACTGCACGGAATTAAAAGTTGGAAGAAACCGGTGCGAGTGCAAAGGGGGAGGAATGCAAAGTGAGCATGTGGGTGAGGTAGAGAGGCAAAGTGATGCAAAGGGGCCGCATCCCTTAGGAAGACAGAAACACTTCTGGGATGGCTGACAACTGTAAATGCGTCTGCAAGCTTGGCTAAGTCATATCACGTCACGCTCTCTCCTTTCCGAGCGAACACTCCTCGTTGTACGTGTTCTGTGCCTTTAACGTTCATCACACCGACCTTGCATGCAGATGCCACCACCGTCCTGGCGCTGTCCGAAGCGAGACAGAACATCTCAAAGCCGTGGCCGTACCTGCAGGAGACAGAGGACGAGCGTTCAGATTCGAGCCAACAGGGGCACTGAGCACGTGGGAGGACAGACGGGATCTGAAGGGCAGACGGGTTGATGGCGGGAGGACAACAAAAGAGAGCGCTGCCAGTCTGACATGAAGCGTCCTCTTGCACACAATAAGCAGCTGGAGCCAGCGCTGCCTGCTGACAGGTAAATAAGCAGACACTGGGTGAAGCGAAAGTACTGATATGCAATGACTGGACAGGGATGAACAATGATGACGTTCCCGGCTAATCAATTGCGGCCTAATTACCTTTAGCTTGCCCGCTATCAGGGGTTTGTTTTAAAATGTCAACAAAGCAAAACCACAGCGCGCAACTTAATGGAGAGAAATTCCTCCCTAAGTACAAAGCTTTCCAACGTTGCCTCAATTTGACAATGACACCGCGGGTATCATTTTTTCCCCTACAAAAATGATTCGGCCACTTACTCATTTTAATGTTTCTATTAAGCCCTTAATGACTCAAAGGCGGGAAGCCGAATGCAGGTAGAAAAATGATTTTCAATGAATGGGCTCGACAAGGGCCACAAACAGACGCAACATATTCAGCCTGAATAAGAGGCTCATGGGATTGTAAGAAGCCGATTGGCTGACGAGTACAAGGAGCGGCACAATTCCATCTGGAAACGATGTTCCATTGAGAGCAATATGGAAACATTATGGAAACAGATGGGAAGCACGTAAGGGACCTGCAAACTCATAAGGGGGTGAAAAAGGGTGGCAACGTCTTCAGGTCTGATGTAAGAAAGGAAACGGGTAGATTGTCATTGGGTCACTTCTCAGGGCGTTGTTTGTAAATTGAGCCAAACTGAAGACTGGCTGAGGAGGTTTTTGTTGCGGCGTCAGCAGCGAGATATTCAGATACTCACAGTTTCTGGACCTCGGGCCACAGAGTGTTCTGGAGAAGGTGGTCCTCTGGTGGGGGCTCTACACACAAACATACACACAACTTTGAAATTGTTACGTAACGGTCATTTGCGAGGCCCTGAAAACCGAGCGGTGCTAAAAATACAACAAGTTTCCAAATTACTAAATGAGGATTTACACCCAAGTGGCTATTAAAATTAGTCTCTTTTAAATCACTGTTCTTTTATCCCAAAGAGCGACAGAAAATATAAATTAAAAAGAGAGGGGGAAAGAGTGAACTAAAAATGGCTGAAAACACAATTGATCGCTTGGAGACGACGACCTCTCACATTCACATGTGAATTCAGCATTTGGTTTGCATGAAATCGTGCTGCTTTTCCCCAAAAAGCCCATTCGAAACAACTGCATTTTCATCTCGGATACGGCTGTTGGCTTTGAGGGAGATCAAATGTAGCCCGGTGCCAATCCTTTCCTTCCCACCGCAGAACTAGCAAAAGCCCGCTCTGTTGAAACGCATGGAATTGAAAGTTTTTCTCGTTGGTCAGCGGCTTTCGCCTCGTTATTCATTTTGTGTCCTTGCCGGCGTCCAAGCCAATCAAAAAGGAGTGAAAATGCATTGTTAACAACAGTCTGTGCACTTTGCTCCCTACACTGCTCGGGGTCATTGATACTTACACTTTGCAATCACCTAAACGCGGCTGTTTAAATTAGCATTGCAGATTAAGCAGTGCCTTCAAATCATGCTGATGACAGCCCTTGAAACCCTGCAGCCAGGCTGTTTACAACGCCAAGCTACGCTCTCTTCATTCGACTCTCATCCCCATCTGTAACTAGTTTCTCTGTTTCGCGTTTGATTCTGATCTACCAAAACACACGGCTGTCCGTCTGGCCGCACATAACTGTCTCTTATAGGAGCGTTTTGTGACAGGCGGACTGGAACTCTTCCTCTTATGTGCAGCGAGGCTGCTGAGCGGATAACAACGGGGGATATGAATCAGGCTATCGAGGGAACGAAGACACATTTTGCCACTTCAATTATTCATGATGGAGGCTTTACTGAGATGACCATGGAAAGTGTTGTTTTTGCAGGTTTGCAGTACCAGTCATGATGAGCGGGTGGAAGTAAGACTCCTGGTATTGATCGGATACGCTGCTGAACTGCCCCTCTTCTTCCTTGTTCTTTGGGGCAAGGTCACCTGCAAATATAAAATGACATTTCAGTAAATTAAAATCGATCAATTAAACAATAAATTACATCAAACTAACAAACCCTTCATTTAATATGACACAGCCGTCTCAAACTGACGTATGGAGCTCATGAAATGAAACTTGGCCCCAGCGCCGATGCACTTGGCATTTAGAGCTGAGCAGGAACTTTACCTTGAAATACAGCCTTGTTGGACAGACCCAAAGCAGGTGTGCTGGCTCCTTCTGGAAGGTTGGCAGAGTCCTAGCAACGAGCAAATAAATGAATGGACATAAAGAGACACACACACACACACACACACACACACACACACACACACACACACACACACACACACACACACACACACACACACACACATCAATATCTATGAGGAGGTGGGCCTTCACCTCAGCGATTATAAAAGTTGGAAAACGAAGTGAGACTACAAAAGGAAGTTTGAGTCGCACTTTCCCTTTGAACAGACGTCTCTAAAAGGTCATGCATTTAACCCCTTTACTAGCTCTCACATTCTAAATCATTTGAAAAATCGTTTTTTTATTTGGCACTCACACTCGACGCAAACAGTTTCTCTCTTGAGGTCCCAGAGATGTTGGCAAAATTCTCCACAAAATTACGAGGCGCTTGAAACACTCGCAGGACCTTCTCGTCGGCTCCGGACACAAACTGGAACCTTCCGACCGTTGCCAGGCACTGCATGTCGTACCCGTGGATCTGTGGCCGTGAGATCTCATGCCAGGTTGCCTGCAGAGTGAAAAGGAAATACAAAAGATGAGGATCTGGTCATGAGAATCCCAACCAGCTGCACGTGGTTGCCCGGGGACGTGTTAGATCTGTGACAAATGTGTGTCTCTTGGCCCGAATGCAACATTGATTCTTTTGTTCAAATGAAACATTTGCAGCTTAATATGCAAAGTGCTGTTAGGAGAGAAGATCCAAGGCTCTAATGAAATAGCAACAGAATTACAATAATGTGATGAAGACTGGAAACTCCATTATGTTTCTACACCCTTTGTACCAATTTCATCTGAAGAAACAACTGGGATAAGAGTTGTCAAGTACACTTCTTATGACCAATCACCAACACGTGACTGAAAATGTATTTTTATCTTTGTCTCATGAATATTAAATTCAGGAAAATCACCAATAGTACTGACCAAATTTTCTAAAAAATGCATTATTTTTTTTAGAATAAACTCGTATGCGAGAGCAGAGCAGAAAGAGCGTCAGGCGGAAAGAGCCCACCTGGAGCACAAGCACACACAAAGGCACAGAAAATACACGTCTAAATGGCAACAGTGAACATGACAAATGCGTGTATAGGCGAAGCGAGCAGGGCGGACAGACAGCACATCAACGCGTGCACGCTTGGTCGCCAACAGGCGGTCCTTAAGGCGGCGCCTGAATGTTTTGCTTGTTTTTCTGTTTTTTTTGCGCTTGTGTGTGATGGCAGAGGCTTGCACGCTGCTTTCACAGAGGGTGAAGATTCGCTAAAAGTGCTTGACTAATGTTGAATGACACAATCGGCAATTGAAGCAGAACTGGTGTGTCTGCTGCTTTGAGCGCTCCGTTTGATAAAAATCACTAAATGGAGGCGGGGCCATACCATGTCAAATTTATAAAAAATACAGACACATAAGTGAATTTAAAGATGTTCTCCAACTCCAGATATGGCGCCTGGTGAGGATATTGTCGTGATGTTGAGAATATGAATATTATTTTAATGTCGTGCTGTTGGTATGTGGTTAATCAACAGGTCAGATGAGGGACAATCATCACATTAGAATACAGTTTCACAACCTGCATGGTTACGCTTTCTTATCCATCTAAAATACAAAAGTTGGTGACAGACATCCTGAATAGAGACGCTTGGCTGTCCTTCGTTTATTCGTGTACGAGTTAAAGCTTCCACCCAGTTGATAAAGTATGACTTGAAGGCCGTAAAAATTGTCGGTTAACTTTTTTAGATTATCCAATATTAACTTAGGGATACCATTCGCTTCATCAATGATCTAAAAAATAAATACAAAAATACGCATTTGGGTTTCTCATCATCATTTTCAAATTTAGACTAACGTGCTAGTTTCAATGGTATAATAGTTTGGTCTTTCTCAAGGAAGCATTGTGGTCTGTAGGTTGTCGAATCAATCCCGTGTATAGCATCTCCGAAATGAACTCAACCTTGATCACCTTTTGGTATAGTTGATAAGCGGTTGTGGCAGAAGAGATATGAGGTTTTTCTTGTAGTAAAGTAGTACTGTAAATTGTGGTCAGATATACCGGTTACAATATTGTGTGATTTGATCGATTTCTGCAAAAAAAGATTAGCCTAATGGAGCTCAGTATCCCTGCCTTCGGTGAAAGTATTTCATGATGGAGTCCAATCGCCAAAGACTTTGCACAATTCATATTTGATGCATGTGCAATACATTTTTGTTTCACTAGTACATTAGATTTTTCTGATTCAACTATCGATTGTACATTTTAGGGATTTTCTTTCAGACTTTTCCCAATTTATATTAATGGAACCATTAATATGACCTTATTGTCTAGTTGTTTATAAACTATTAGTGTACTTAACATGTGGTTATTTAATTATTTTCTACCATGCGCTTAAAAACATAAAAAAATATTACCACAATTTTTGAGCTTTCATCAGCCGTTACAGATAGAGATCACTCCCATCTTACCTGCCGGGTATCTTGGTTCCTCCATGGAGTGAAGAGTCTCGTGGTCTGGTCTGAGCCCACGCTTAGGATGAACTCGCCCTCAGGATCCCAGCTCAGGTCCTGGACGGCATTAAAGTGGCCCGATATCACAACCCCCGGCCTCCATTGTCCCTGGTGAAGACAGCCATGAAATTCAGTTTTCAAACCTCGTATTTCCCACTTAAATTTCACTCTACATAAACATCACTTCAATACATAGTATGATTGGCATAAGTGGGTGATTATGAATATAAAAAAGGTATCACTGCCAGTGAAGTCAATTTCCTTTCAAACAGCTGAATTATTCTGTGCTGAACTTTGAATTCACCTTCCGAGCCGAGTGGAATTGAAATGCCGTCATTTCTTCAGACACCACTTTCATGCCCAGGGACACCAAAGAAAAAGACACACGCGAAGCCATTCAGATTTAATGGCAGACCAAGAACCTGGTGTGACTATTTACACAAATCACTGTCTCTCACACAGAGCAGCTGTGTGATGCACCACTGTGGAATCAAACGCACTTATAAAAATCACATTTACTCTGCAAATGTAAGAAATCATTTCAACCGCTGCTGAGAAACTATTGGCATCATATTGATTTGAAGGTGGATGGGGGGCCTCACCTCTTTGTCCTGTTCTTTGCACCACAGATGCAGTGCTCCGTGGAAAGCGTGAGCCACAATCATGGAGCCGTCCGGACTCATCTGGCAGCCGTAGAAACCCAGAGTGTTGCCACCGACCTCCCCGACGCGCACCTGGTGGGAAAGAGAATCCTCGATGAGGGCGACCAGTAACGATCAACACACTGGTATCAGACATCATGCTGGGGGGGGAAGATGAAGCGGTGCATAAACTGCCACACACGGATTGGGTTATTCAAAATCCTTGTCCAATCAATGTCCTTTATTTCCAACCACTTGGGTTTTCTGTAAAGACAGCGGCTCGATTTATAGAAAAGAAGCAGACATAGTCTTCAGCTAAGAGGCTGCAGACTATGAGGCCCGGTAATGGTGTGTAAAACAGTAAGTTAAGCTGATAAGTCCAAGGTGAAATAATGCCAGATGGGACTTGGGAAAGTGGAGCTGAATAAACTGTTGCAAAGAAAATACATTTGTCTACAAACTGAAAGCAAATGCATATCAGCATATCACACAAAACAAACCATTAATCGCCTGAGAACCAGGAAGGATTTGAATAGATTGAATTTGAGTGAGAGCTTGTGAGTCTTATGTCAAGCTGCATAAGGCAAACAATACAGAGTTTGGTTTCTACGGAAAATAAACAGTCCAGTTTGAAAACACATCTAATCAATGCCTCAGCTCAGAGAGCAGGATTGAGAGGATTGCGACCACCTGTCTAATCTCAGACAGTTTCTGTGTGTCAAGACAATTGAATTTGGTCATTTCCATTGACATTCGGTCATGTGAAATAAAAAAGTTTCCAATTAGTTCTAAAAATCATTCATCAATTCATTGACATGAATATATACAGAGAATAAATTTCACACTCACCCAAAAAACAAGACATTTAAAACTGATTGAATGGGTCAATATCTCATTTGTGTTGTTGCATAATCAATAGGACTCAATGCTGGGATTATGGATTACTAGACAGAAGTAATGTAGAAAGAAAAAATGTAGAAATTAATCCACAGGAGAGATGCTCTGACCACAAGCTGTAAATATTATGATTGACAACTGACTGCAGAAGAAATGTGCTTCCTCACTGATGTATGAAAAGGACAGTGAGAGAGAGGAAGTACAGACACACATATTATATATAATATATACATATTCTGTCATGTCAGATATCTTCATTCCTTACTGCCCATTCCTTATACTTCAATAGCCAAACGCTAAGCTGTTTACTAAAACACGAGTATTCTGTTGACCAGGCCGGCGTCTCACTGAGGAATTCAAACAATTAAAAGCTGCATCGGGCTTTGAAAAGTAAACTGCGCCCAGAGGGGAGATCTATTCCAATCGATAGCAGCAGAACCAACCCCAGAGAGCTCTGCGATGCTCCCTGAGCAGCACACATCTCCTCCATCTTCAATTAGCCCGCGCCTTAAAAGATATACGGACATTGGCTTTGAGAAAATACGAGTGGTGCCGACTTTACACTTGAATGGTTCAAACAGATGCACGGCTTGGCCGGGTTGTCTTTTCCTTGGGAGCGGGTAGGTAGAGCAAGAGCACGTCATGCTGCAGCAGTGACCAGAAAGAGACTGCAGGAGCAACACACAGGGATGCATTTGCAACAGTTACAAGTCGCACAAGCAAACCCGCAAATCACGGACATAGCGGCGCTACGTCTTCTGTACGAGGCACTAAATTGAAGTCCTCAATCATCCGGGCCTTCTTTGGGAGCATGCGTCGGTCATCGATGACCTTCAAAATAACGCCTGTCTGCAGGCTGAAACACAGCGGAACTAATGGCCGCTATAAAAAAAAAAAAAGGCCAGCCGTCACATGAAATGGCTCAATCCTCCAGCGAGGGAGAGAGCGAGAGGGAAGAGAAACCGCCAGGTACAAAACGTTGATGCAGAGATTGAGAGAGGACGAGATGCAACATTAAGCAGATTGATCTTAAAATTCTGCACACAAGAGCCTGCCGTAAATCACACAAGAACTCGCAGAGGTTGAAGAAAAAAAAAAAAAAAAGGGCATCATTTGTCTTGTTTACGAGTGAGGGAACAATATGGATGCGCAGCGTGCCACATCACTGGCCAGCGGGGTTGTGAGGAAGAGGAAAAGAACAAGGACCGAAAAGAAAGGAAGGCATAGATCATTTGTTTGAAAAAAGGAAAATAGAAAGAGTGATGGGTGTTGAATGAGCTTCTCCAAGCTGGGAACCCACATACAGTGTGGAGTGCAGGTTTTCAGATCAATTTTTCCCAAAAGCTGAAAAAGTAACCGACACATTGGCAGACTGGGCCGTCTTCCCATCAATTACCCGTGATGTTATGATGCACCCCATAAAGTTGGGATTGCTTTATTGAGCGTGGTTGCGCAACAAGAACGTCAATCTTTGTTGTGGGCGGAAATATTCTCCTTCTATCACTCTCTCATCGAAAAACGTTTCATATACGTCACAGACCCACAAACAGAGCAGATAAGGACGCACACACACTGCTGTCTGCCCTCCTGCCGCATCTCCAACAAGCAACAGGTTCCTAGGTCAATGCTGCTTTCTTTCCAGGTTGAAAAGCTCCTACACGTGCTTTTAGAATTAATTAATTCACACCAACTCAATAGAGTTGTGGGAGGATGCACAGTAAGTTCTGTGCGTAGGTAAGTTCAGATATTCTTGAGGTCATTGCATGCAGTAAAAATGTATCTTGCACAACAACGCTCTCAGAGGGGAGCGCTCCATAAAGTCAAAGTGATCATTAACCAGGCTCTCAAGCGCCAAAAGACAGATTCCCCTGTGGGGTTCAGTCACGCGTCGCCTCCTGAACACCTGCGCACTCCTCTTCACCAGAGGGTGGTCCAAGACCGGCCTCCCGCCAAAACCCTCGTGGGAGCCAGAAACGGCTGCCGCTCCGCTCTGACAGCGGCACCAGAAAGCACCTCGACGTCTACGGAGCACAGGAACAAGAGGGGAGGATACAACAAACTGCACAGGACACAACGACTCACTCTCAAAAGGGTTTATGCTTAAAGAGTAACCGGACAGCTCCTGAAACTCTACTGTTTAAAACCAGGCTTTGAACACGAGTACGGATGGACTCCAGGACGCAGAGGTTTCTCTGTTGCACACTTCTTGAAACAGCAAATGGATCACGCAGCTTTTCAGCTAAACCTGGTGTTGCCACCTAATAAAATATTAAACTCATTTTCGTTTTATAGTCTTTTCGATCTGCCGTGTGACCAAGCGTAACTTGACTTCTGAAAATGAGATATATATATATATCTCTTACACACGCACACACACACACACACAGACACACACTCCCTGCAGGCCTCCTAGTGGCCCGCTGTGGTCAGTCTGAGATGTTAATTACCAGTGTGTGTCATTAGTAAGATGTACTTTACGCAGCGGTGGACCCCATCCACCCCACTGCTAAGCCCGCTCTCCATTAAATCGCACCAATTACTCCAATCAGCGTGAAGATGTGAAGCATTTTTGTGATTTTGCTAATGTGACACAGCCGGCTGGTCGGTTAACGCTGTGGAATCTGCTTTGCCAATAACTTCTAATCCCGTGGATGGAACTCCGATGTAAGATCTTTCATTGTTGTGCGTTTGTGTGCGCTTAAGCTTCCTGTGTGTGTGTGTGTGTGTGTGTGTGTGTGTGTGTGTGTGTGTGTGTGTGTGTGTGTGTGTGTGACCGGTCAGTTCAAAGTCTTGGGCCCTTGTTTGAAAAAGCGTATAAAGAGAGGAGCAAACCGCACTTCCAATTTCAACAAAGGATCCAGAACAAAAAGCCCGAGCTTTGTAGCTTACGGCCACCGCGGACGCGACTTTAAACTCTCATTTTTTCATTTATACTGACAACCTTTGTCTGGTGACGCAGAGACGAACACGTGAAGGGAATTGCCGCTGGCTTCAGGCCCCCAATCACGGCCCCTTTGTCAGAGAGGAGAATCGCGACTCTTTTCTTTGGACTCTTTGTAAGTTTCAACTGGTGATGAGAACGAGGAGATCAAAAGGCTCAAAAATGGAACCGATCAGACGGGGATTTTTTTTTTCTCATCGCCTCACGTGTGATCACATTTGAGTTTTCTGCTATGGCGAGGGGAGTAATTTGTGAGCCTGTTTTGCCAGTCTGCCCATGAGCACCTGTTGTTTTTTTGTAAATTACATGGGAAGGTAACCAGAGTCACTGAACCACCTGAGAATTACCTTATTGTATCAGCAACAAAGAAAGAAAACAAGGTTGTGCAGCAGATGGGCGGAAAGCAACTTTCATTCTTTGCTGTGCTCACTTGTTAAATTCAGCCTCATTTTTGCACAACAGCAGCTGTTGGTAGCTCGGAGAGACGGGGTGGAGGGGAGCAAGAGGGAGGTGGCATAGAGATGGCGTGTGAGAGGAAGACTAGACGGTGGGGGGGGGGAGGGGGGAGCAGTGGAGGAAGAAAAGATACACACATCATGGAGCAAAAAAAAAAAAAGACATAATGAGTAAGGCGGTGCAGGCGGAGAGGCTATGGCGCGTCTCCCATAAGCCTCTCTGCGATGGGCCTTAGAAGTGGGGGTCCGGTGTGAGTGAGTGATAGAAGGGAAGACGGGGGAGGTCAGTCTCGCCTTGTCTAAACTCACAGGCTCGGCGGCCCTTCATCACGGTCTATCACTTCTATTCCTGACACCTCAATGTCAGTGAGGGTGGGAACTGACGCTGGGGCACTGACAGCTGAGAGAAAATAGTACGGGGGAGGGTGGGCGAGCTGCCGGATCACGTCAATGAGCTACTGGGAGAAAAAAAAGGGAGATGGCAGCAATATAGTTGAAAAATCTGTGTGCGGGTCTGTGCGCAATCCCCGCATTCCCCACATAAGGTAATCGATGCCATGTGTGTGCGTGTTGGTGTCTCTGAAAGCCTCCTTCTCTGACTTTAGTCAACGGGTACCTGCTCCACCCAGACTCCGGATCCCTCCTCGGGGGCCCAGATGATCATGGTCTTGTCCATGGAGGCTGAGAGCAGCCCGAGAGGCTGTTGCAGCTCACCACCTGCAGGGGACACAAAGAGACATTAGTAAAGACATAGCGGAGCGGCAGACACGCTAAATGGTTGTCAAAAACTGAAGTGATCTTAATATAATAAGCTTTTTAAAAAGGCAACCAGAGTTTAGAGAGAATATTTAGCACATCTGTCAGGCTTTATTCCCTGAGAACTAATTAAGACAATAACTTCACACTCGTTTTTCTTTGAAATTGCCGTCCTTCGCTGCCTTTTGTCCCTTTTGTGCACCATTCTAACAAAGACTTATGGAGTCTTAGCAGCAGTAATATGAACGGGAAATACACATTTTATCTCAGCTTAGCGTGCAAGCCAGTCAATTTTACTTCCACGGTGTGCAGAAACAGTCCAGGTGATCGACGTGTTTAGAGGCAACTGTGTCAGATCTGAAAGCTTGACTTACTTTTAGACAAAACTAAGAGCTTAATGAGTAATGACCGATCCCTTTCCTTGATCATCAAGGTACCTTTGTAGAGCGCGGGCTGCCAGTGGACACCATAGACCCAGTGCTCATGGCCTGCCAGGACCGTCTCAAGGGACACTGCAAACACTGAGGAAACGTCTACAGCAGAAACACAGGGAGGCCAGATGACGCCTGTTATCCAGATACAATCAAATCAAGTTTTATTGATAGCGTTATATGATGATGATGAATGACCTAGTGAAAAGGGGGCTGAATGACTTGTTAAGGAAAAATCAATTGATTATTTTTTTTTTTATTATTATTATTTTTAAATCGAATGTTAAACCGGAAAAACTACGCACACAAACACAGGCGCCATTATACCATCAAAAGGCCTTTCTATTCATTTGGTTAATTAGAAACCTTTTTACGCATCAAGCCCACATGGCCCACTCACCTCTCTCCTTCACTTCAAAAACATCCTCTTTCATTCGGATGGTGGTGTGATCGTCCTCTATGTGGGCGTCCGTCCCGGACTTGGCACACAGCCGCCACACTCTGATGAGGCAGTCCTGGGAACAGCTGGCTAATAGCAGCTCTCCACCTGAACGAGGCAGAGAGAGATCGTGAAAGAATTTTAGAATTAGAATTCCTTTTAGCATCAGAATAATCATTTCATTATTTACTCAACACGATAACACGTCTTATCAAATATAACTGATACTTATTTAGTGTTGTGTAGCTCAAAGCATAGTCGAGCTTCAGTAAAGGTGGTTATATTTAGATTGATGCATAACAGCTAATATGGATCATGTTAAAATTGATCCTTCCAAACAATTATTATGGTTTGGAAGCAGGAATACAAAGTTTTTTGTCTGTTTTTTAATGAGCCCCCCTTTGCTCGTCTATGCGCTCCTGTCGTCCTCCTTCGTTTGTTGGAAGGGTTATCAAGGCATTGCAACACAACGCTGCCAACTGTGACACGTCCAGTGCGACAGCAGGCGTACCGGCCCAGAATAAACAAAGCTCAAGCCACCATCTCAAGAGTGCTTCCGTCTGTCACATTATGCATTCAACGTTTAGTCCGATGGCCACTGGCCCAGAACTGCCTGTGCCAAGATAAACAGACATATATTGTTGCTCCAACCTTAGGCCTCCTGCGTGGTGGTAGAGGCAGGAGGACGGCCATAATGGTTTGTTGATTATGACGCGGTGACATTGGTGATTACAATGAATTGCTTTTCCTGCTCGCCTGGACCTCTGACAAAACGACAGATTTTTCATTCGAGGGTTCAACCGTCCCCTGCTCTCCCCCAAAAAAGTCAGACTACCCTCCCTAAAATTAAACACCATTAAATTATAACATGACCAGCTGATTTTCATGCTAGACTGCAATGATTATTGGGAAGAAAAGTTTGATCTAGAAAATAAGATAAAGACAGAATAGTGTGGTGCCGTGACTGATAGCCTGGACATCTAGTGCTACAATTTAATCTGCCAAGTCAAGAAAGAAAAGACGTGTTTTATGCAACTACCATCACGGTGGAGCGAGGGCATTTGAATTTCTACGGGGATATTTCATGTAAACAGACATCTCTCGGTCTCTTTGCTGGCTCGTAGCTTGGCAGAGTGGAGTAGGTCATAGACTGCGAGTGGGAAGGGGACACTGGTGGAATGAGCTGGTTAAGGAGATGAAATAGCTTTTACACAGTCAGAACAGTGCAGTAATGAAGAGTTGTTGCCGAGGGTTACACAATTAGTATAGCTTGGATTGGATCCATACATTGCCATGTGCTATCGCAACCCTGTGAATAGGCCACTGGTGCTGATGCCAGGCTCGACACAAGCGTTTTAAAGTGTGTCTAGGTTTCATTCTACTAAATACTATTGGTCTCAATAAGAAAATGTATATTTTGCTCTTCTGCTATTACATGCTTGCCATTTCTAAACATATTTCCATTTCGAATTTCTAACAGATTCTAGATCAGAAAACCCTGATGAATATTCATTATTGTATGTATAACTGACCTAGGGTTCTGACATCCAAGCGCACTGGAACAGTTAACAGTTGAAACTGTAAGGCTCACCTAGAGAAGCCCAGGCCACTCCACGAATCCAGTCCTCATGCCCTTGCAGTGACTTGGCTTTATGAAGCTGCTGAAGAGAAATTGTATTTCTTTTTTTAAAAGGCCAAATGTTGCACTAATACTTGAATTGATGTGTATTGGTCAGAGCTTACCCCTCCGTTAGACTGCACATACAGATGCACTTGAGCGTCATCACCCCCACAGGCCAGTATGGGAACTGTAAGAAAAGACGGTTAAGTTTTCACAGTCATGTAAGTGCACACACACTCACATTGCACAAATTCAAATCCAAGCCTATGTTTTATAAACAGGAGCGAGGTGAAAGGGAAGGATGAAGCACAGCATCAAACAGACAAACGGCACGTAAGACAGAAAGACAAGCTGACACGAGACGCTTCAAACACGGGCTGCATTTTGAATATGACGCTCGGTTACAGGCACTAAAGCAGTGGTGCAAATTGAGATGGATGACATGAGAGGAGAAATGTCTGTGCGAGTGTATGCGGCGCACAACTTAGAGGATGTCTATGTAGGATGAGCTTAGGCTTACCTCTGCTGCCTGGCAACAGTGCCAGAGAGACATCCATCACGAAACTGCTGCCAAATGATACGGTATGGAGGCACTGAGCTGAGGAACACACGTGCACATGGAATTAAATTACAATAGTTTTAACTTTTTAGTCTGAGTAGATGCAAAAATACAAAATGCATAAATACACAAACTATTTATATTGACCTTTTGAAATATTTGCCATCACAGCAGTCACAATTCAACATAAGATAGTAATTATTTTTGGGAATCCACCCAAGGTTACGCTTGGCAAACACACACACAATTATTTTCCTTCACCTGTCAAGCTGCATCAGTGTTTATCTGAACTGACAAGTGGACAGAACTTCCAACAAAGAGAAACCGTTATGGGTGACAGCTTAGGAAAACAAATAAGTAGATATGGATAACAGCTTGTATCACCACTGGTATTTCACTTTGTAAGGAAATCAAAGAAATATAATTAATAAGGTAATTTGTTAGGAAACAAAAACACCTCTTTTAGTGTATGTGAAAAAAACACAATGTAGAAGTGACGCATGCTAAAGGCTTAACCTTCTGCAGCACTGCAGAGGTAAATGATCATATTGCCATTTCCCAAAGCAGCCACTAGAGGGCAACTAGGTAACTAGAAAGGGAATTAATACAATTGATTTTTTGTAAGTCTGTTACTTTCTGGATAGACATACACAACAAAAAAAAGGTACAAAGCACCTGGTGGAAATGGAACGGTTCTTGAAAAGCGGACGTATTGAGAAAGCACAATTTAGATTTTCAAAAAAGAAATCACAAAATCCTATAGTTCACCTCAGTGACCGACTTCTTGTTGCTGCTTGGGAATTAACAGTTTAGTTTTACCTCATCACATCTAAATCACATTCAAAATGTAAATATCTGAAAAGGGCGAATCACTGTGGGAGCTCATACTGAATGCCACATCTGTTGGGAACCCACCACCATAACCCAAATAATACTTTTCGAAAGCTATTCTTTTGCACCATTTGCAACATTATCATGGCAACAAAGTGTTGCACCACAACAACCACAGGGTGCCACTAACAAGTTTGTTCCAGTCGTTGCTTTTGTGTTCATTACCTCCAACGGCTTGGTTGCAGAGCCACAGTCGGACCGTGGAGTCCGATGCTGAGGAGGCCACCAGGATCTCGGAGTCCTCCACGTAGATGGCGTCCACGGCACAAACTGGACCAGTGTGGCCTTTACACTCCGCCACCTGGACAAACTGGAGACAGCGGGAGGGCCCCAATCAGAAGAGAGCACACAGCGGACAAACAGTGTCCCGGGAATCAGGTGGCTTACCTTTCCATTCCGACACTCCCAGACGATGAGCCGGTTGTCAGAGCCTCCTGAGACGAGATGACTCTCGGGAGCTGCCACGCCAATAACAAGTCATTAAGTGAACACACGCGTCACGGCTACACCAACATGTGTTAAAGCAACTCTCTGCTAAATAGACTTTCATTCATCTTGGACACACGCTGCTGTACATTTGCTGTGGCGGAAAATAAAACGGGCGGGACATAAATTCGGATCACGTCAAAGCGATTAAGACACTGACCACAGTCGTCTCTGTGAACCCACTGGACCGTGTTCACTCTTCCCGTGTGTCCATTCAACACAGCAACGACTCTCCTTTCCTGCGACAAAGAAACACAACTGTTTTACAAGAAGACAACGAACAAGAAAGTAGACTTTTTACGGGCAACCTGGGGATGTAACGTTAACGAAGCGTGTTGTTGGCGGGGACAATTAACAGCGAACGCTAACTTTACAAAGGGATTTATGAGGATTTCACAACCTGCGGGTCGTACAGCGCTACGGAGGTGCACGTCCCAAAGGCAATGATCCCGCCACGACCCCAAGAAACCACATTCGGAGTCCTATTTGCACAGCAAGCTACATGGCATGTTTCAATTACGGGCGCGGCCATCTTGAAATATGTAGTTGTGGTGTTACTGTAAATTGAGCTGTAGCTAAACTGAACGCTGCGAACGAAGGTTCCGCGTCCATATGTCGACAGCGTGGAAATACACATTAATGGGGATATTGTTAAAGAGAAGAAAAATACACCGCAATTAACTTTATCATCGCTAGGTAGTTGTGAACAAGTTCGTTTAGATGTCGGGAATAAGGAAACATTGAAGCGTTGAACTCACTGAAGTGCACCGTTAAGTCCACTAGATGGCGAGCATAAATCATATCAAAATAGGTAACTGCAAGTGTAATGCCCACTGGCATTAAGAAAAGTACTTTACGCTTATATGTTATAGATTGCATCTGAAAGGGTAATTATGAGGTGTTTACGTATCTTTTCTTTATCCTCCCACAAAACCAAACCGAGTTGATGGGGATTCCTTGTTTGGAGAGATTGATTCGCCATGATTTTCTGGCTGAATGTTGAGCGTTGAATGAACTGAATAATATACAAACTGGAAAAGGAATTTAAGGGAAGTCAGATTTCAAACACTTTATCCAGTTTTTGACTTCTAAGTAAGAAAAGATCCACATCAAATATACTTCATATTAACCAAATGGCTTCTGAAATTGATCATTATTTTGAAATTACTCCACCAACAATCAAGATGCCAAAATAGGCAATACAAACCCTGCTGTGTCGGACCGTATTAGCCCCTCACCGATAATGAGTGAGGGTGACAGGTCGCAGCTGAGCGAGCTGCCATCCAGACAGCCTTGCTTGTTAAAAACGAGCCCATGGGCCCTGTGGATTTCAAGGGTTCGGGAGAGGGTTTTGTCACGAGGCGGGTCTAGTCGCCCACTTGACAAGTCGGGGACAAAAAAGAGATGACATCTGCGAACCCGTGAGACGATATGATAGATGACAATGTTGCGAAGAAGAACAAGGTGATAGCCTTTGAGGAAGTGATAGGAAGGGGAAGCTGGGCCTCCTCTGGCTGGCCTCTGGCGATGCTGAGATGTGGGAGGCAAAGATAAAATAGACGCACCATCAACAACACTTCTGGAGGAAATAAATCGTCTCGCTAACGTTGCCCGCGTCTCAAAAAAAAATGTCTGTTCATGTTTCTACAACGCAGGATTGGTTTGAGAAGCAGAATCCTTCATAAAACAAAGATTTAAGAGGGCAATGAATCAAGAACAGTGTATATACACACACAGAGTATGCTTAAGAGAGACATTGTTTACATTTTATATCAATATCATCAATAAAACGTTATTTCAGACTCGAGGTCCAGGTGAGACAAGACAATAATAAAAAAAATACATGTAGTGCTTTACACAGAGAGACAGCTGTACCCACGTCCCCACCGCTGGGACTAGTAGCGTGTAGTACTAAGCCTTCTGTTTGTTAAAACCAAAATGTTTCCAACAGGGGACTGAGGACACCACAATGCCGTCAGCGTACAGCTACAATGAATGATCCAGAGAGAGAGCAGCAGTCACAGTCACAGTATGCATATAGGCACTTTTTATTTGATGATTGATACCCTTGGACTGTGAGAATACGAAAAATGGTTTTCCTGCTTGTACGGGTTTCAGGCAAATTGTCCGAATGCAATCTGCCTGGAAAAGATTAGAGGCAGAGCAGCCAACATTGAATATTTCCATACAAATTAGACACCGTTTAGGAAAACAAGCCTGTTTCACAGTTAGTTAGTTATGGCACTGACACGCTCGGTGAGAATGTGCACACAGCTTGTGGATTTTAAGAGATGACTAAACTATTTCCACTACAATGTTATAGTGCACGCGACGAGAATTATTAAAACCGGCGCGTGTTGCTACAGCTCATTGCAAGTAGCCAGAGTGCAGTTTGTTATCATCGAACCGCTTGGAAGAGAGCCTGTGAGAAGACAAAAAACATAAAGATACCATCTACGTGTTTGCAGAGCCATTCATCAAAGTGGAACGCAGTCCTGTCCGCACATAGCAGCCGACTGCTTGCATGCCTTTATAATGCTGCAATGTGCGTGAGTGTGTGTGTGCGTGGAGCCAAACCTATGCAAACAGGGAGGGTTAAACTAAAGCATAGCTCTGGGGTTTTAAATAAATACTGGCTGAGCCTGAGAGCGGCAGACAGCTTTAACTCTCACACACACACACACACACACACAACTATTGTCTATCATGCTGACACAGAGTGTGAGCCAGCCACCGTAGTTGATGATGAAGCAGGCAAAACAGTGCTTATAAGCCGTATCTGCTGTGGGACATCTGGTGTGTTTGTAATATGAAGTGTTACTCACCACTCGTCACACAGCGGCTGCACTTGCTGGTAAAGTTAGAAATAGCTACTGGAGCCAGTTGCCGATACAGATAAATTGGCAAAAAGTTTGGTAATTTTCTGATCCAGATGGTCATAGAGCATTTGAAGGTTTACCGTGGATAGTAGTAGTATAGATAGTTGTTACTTGGTCACAAAATAAAAGGGATAAAACAAGGATCTTTTTGAGTGCGAAAGCACCACTTCAAAACAAATAAGTTCCGACTGTGTGAGCATGACCTATTGACCTTTCACTGGGCATGCTTGGTAGTCTCGTCTTCAATAAGTCCATCTGGAAACAACATTCACATCGAGTCATCGTAACCTCCAAGCCTGTTAGTTTGTTGAACATGAAATGTCATCCTGCCATTTCTCTCATCAACAGATCATATTAAGCTAAATAAAACCTGGCTGAAACTCTATCATCCATCAAAAGAGTTGCAATAATTTATCTTTTTCTAACCTTCAGATGTGCATTGGGAAAGTAGTATGTGGAATTTTGGTAATGGGTAAAAGATCATCTAATTGAAATGATGGGGTTTATTCGTTGGTCCATAATTAGCTTTTGTAAACAGCTTTTCATCTATTAAAAATATGCCTGCAGAGGATACATCTCTTTTCATCTGAGCAGAAAACATTTCCAGCAAGAACTTCATGTACTATTTTGTTTTGCATATGAAAACCCCCCAAAAATGTGTTTTGAGATTTTACTTCAAACCAACCAAAACCCGATAACCTTTTTACTCCCCTTATTAAGGAAGCCCCTAAACAAAACAGTGAGGCATTTAATGTGTGGGTGTGTGTGTGTGTGTGGAAAGCATTGATTCATTCTTATGTTGGCACTGCAGGTTACTCGGGCTCCCAAACATTGCACCATCAGAGCAGCTGTCCCACGTGGCTCGGTGCGGCCGGGTTGGATTGGCGTATCCGGGGTGTATTTTGAGAGGACGACAGGGGGACTGTCCCACTCCAGGGGCACAACGTGAGGATGCATTTACTCAGGGGTCGAACCAGAGTTGTTTCTGTGGGAGAACGCATCGCTCCCCCGTCTCTGGAGGGCTTTGGATGCATAAATGTAAAAAGTCCTACGTCGTTTTGAACCGTTTCTTTGCCTTTAATCCACACGTGTGTGATGGTGTTTTTCGCCTCGTGCTGTTGTTGAGTGAACAGACCGGATTGAAATCCGAATCGACGGCGCGCGATCCGCCCGCGGAGGTGGAAAGAAAACCCCCGAGGACGCGCGCGCCTTCGGTGCCGTGCGTGCGTGCGTGCGGTCGCTTGCCCACAGTGTGGCGAGCTGCTGCTGCTGCTGCATTCTGCTCCCCGCCGCCGCGCAGCGAACTACATGGACGAGAGCGCGAGCGGCTTTCGGCGCCACAACCACCGAGCCGGAGTGGATTAAGAACAGGGGGCGCGCGCGCGCGCGCACAGAGCCGCTCGGCGAACCAACCGCGAGACCACATCAGAGGAAGAACCGCAAGTCCGTCTCACCCGGTTTAAGAGGGGCCCGTGAACTCACTTAAAGCAGTGCATTGTGTGCGCGTGCGTGTGTGCGCGCGTGTCCGGCAGGGAGAGCTCGGCGGGAATGGCTTCATCTCCGTGCGGCAACAGTAACTTTGATTCCGGTCTGGAAATCAAAACTCGCTCCGTGGAGCAGACGCTTATTCCTTTAGTATCGCAGGTGAGTACTTCATGAACCGGGGAACCGGGGGGGGGGGGGGGGTACTTTCAAACCCACGTCGGCCAACTTTTGATTGTCACGTTTTTGTGCGGACGGCGTCTGCGTGTTGTTGCGTTGTTACGTCGTTATTACCGGCATCCCTGTCATCTTTAATGGACTGCTAGGAGTTATTCCGTCATACGTAACAACTTTAAAACGTTTAACACGTGAGGTAATACTGAGCCTAAGGACACATGTTTGGTTGTTTTTGTTAGGAAGGAAGTTGGTTTCGTGATTATATTATTAATATAATTACACAGGCAAACCCGCAAAAAAATGGGAGCAATTAAACCAATGATCAGCCATCCCAAAAAAAACCCAATTCAATTAATTGTGATTTTAATCCCTTGTTGGGGGGCTGGAGGTCACCAGGAAGTCTCCTGGTAGTCAGCAGACTCCACTTTGAGGAAATGCTCTTGAAGAGTGTATAACAGTTTTCCCAGAAGTTGTGTGTTGTGTGTGTTGTGTGTGTTGTGTGTGCTCGGCTGCTGTGACTCACACTTCTCTAATTGGGCCACTTTGAGGCGCGTGTTTTGTTTTTCAATAAACAGAAGTAAAAGAAAGGCCCACTTAACTCTTCTCTTGCACACTTGAAAGGCAGCAAGCTGGTAGCTTCAAAGCGTGGACGTCAGGTCAATGAGTTACTTAATCACTTTATCATACAGTGCTGCACAGAGGAAACTATAGGCTGCAGACTAGCTTTTCAATGCTGATCTCCCTGTATGTGGCTCTATGGCAAAGAGCAAAAAAGGCCTGTAAATGTCCTGTTTTATTTCTGTTGAGAGGTGCCTCACTGGTGGTTTAACAGCGTCCGGACGATACCATGATGGAAGGTCCCTGACGCGGTCCTTCCCTCTCGCTTCCTCCTTTATTACCGACAAAAGGTCATCCTGTACTGAATGGAAATGGCTTAGTAGTAAGAGAGGCGGTCGGGGATGTGCTCTCTCACTAGCCCGTTCATTTTAGTTTTCTGTCATTTATAAGAACGCCAAAAAAAGGGGTTCATGAGGTTTGGTTCTGTAATAGGTCAGGTTAGGCCTACGATGTCAGTAGCAATTACTGAAAGTTTATTTACAGTAAGCACTGATGTTATATTATGTAAAAGCATCAAAAGATTACCGTAGTATTATGTATGCCGGTAACGTGGCTCAGCGTGTGACGCTGTGGTGAATAGCGTCCCTCAAGGACAATCTTTCCTAACTTTCTTTCTTTCTCACTGTGAGGCCTGTCGCCATAGCAACGGAGCTCTGAAAGCTGAACCGACAGATTTCCCAAGGACTGTTTTCTCCATATGTAGTGTTTTGTTGTCGTCATGTCCTCTGGAGGACAGTCTCTCAGTACTGACCGGTACATTAGTTTCACCTGCCGTGAGTGCTTTTCATCCTGTGTGTCGTCACGTGCACACAAATTACTGCAAATGTGCACAGAGCATCTTCCTAGGAGTGGAAAGATGAATTGAATCTGTCTATTGAGTGACATCAACAAATCATTTACAGCTATTTTATTAGCAAAAGGTGTGTTTTCAATTGGAAATGCATGCTGTTTTTCTGTCTCCTTAAAAATGAATAACTTTTAGTTGAAAGTGTTCTTTTCTTAGCTTCGATAGATCAAACTATTGCTTATTTAATGGAGGAAAAAATTGGAGGATTCATCAATAATTAAAATAATTTTTACTTGCCCGTTCTTAGTAACGTGATTCCCCCATTCATTCTATTCACGATGTTACATGAAAACGTGTGTTGGGTTCATGTGCAGAAATAGGTGTAGCATCCTGTCTAATAAGAAAACGTAATTTAACAGAAAAATAAAAGCAACTTGCAGCTATTTATCGTTTCTTGAAAAGCCATAGTTCTTTAAACTTACTTTGTTGTGGCGTTTTACACGTTAGCACAGAATCCAAACGCCAAAAAACCCCCGTCTAACTTGTGCATGTATCAGTGGTCATTACACAGACTGCTATTCCACGTGGCTGCGGTGCCCTGATTGGCCTTAATGTGAGTAATTAACTCCGTTAAGGGGTTTGCTGAGAATGAGCATTGTGCCAGTGGGTTAAAATAGAGTCATCACAGTCAGTGTAAACACACTCACTGTGTGCGCTGGTTTGTGCGGCTTTTCTTTTTAAAGGAGCTTTTGTATTTACGTTTCCCAGAGGGATCATCTGATGACTATCAAGGAGGAAATGAAAAAGCGATGTCAGTGAGAAAAGCCGTTGTTTGATGAGATATTGTGTTGTGCACTACCCCCCCCCTTTTTTTCCCTCAATTTTATTACGCGTCTCTCCCTGTCCTTTCATGACGTTGATATCCTCGGGCCTCTTGTTATCAGCTTCACTCCCACCAGGGTGTAATTATAGGGCTGCGAGTCACTACGAACGTACGCACGCACCAGCACATGCATGCAGACCCACCCGCGTCTTCTCTTTCCACTTGGATTTTCCACGCATGTACATTCACCCGTACTGAGTCCAGGTGAGAGTGAGTGTGCACTTCATTCCTCACGTTTAGTGCCTCTCAGAGTTTTGGCAAATGACCTCTGAATGACTCTGACTCCTAATTTTTGCAATGTGGCCACTTGTGTGTTTTCCCTTGGAACCAGTTTGAATATTCACGCAACCCTTTTTCAGAACAAAAGGGGGGGGGGGCATTACTTTTTTTTTACATTCACCGATGGGTGATTCACCTTTTCTGCTACAGCCATCTCCATACCAATGGACTGGCTTTGTGAGGGGCTGGCAAGGGTAAAGAATTGCTCTTGTGGGGGGGGGGGGTCAAACGCGTATTACATATACCACAAAGAGCGGGGGAAGTCTGTGTCCTACTTGTGATGCGCTCTGCGACCAGCTGGAAGACAATCAGCGATGTTCTGGCGGCTTTTTCCTTGGGATCCAATCCTTGTTTTTAAGTGGTGATTAGTGAAATAACCCGCTGTGTTCCTGTTTTTAATTTTTTTGTAATCGAGGTGTGTTTGCTAGTAAAACCCACCCGCTGACGAGTTGTGACGGTGTTGTTTTGAGGTAAAGATGTGTGGGAACAAAAAACAGGGCGAGGAGGTAACATCTGAGACTTTGATCAGTTGAACATTTAAACCCTTGTGACACTCCGGCCTTGTGATTGCACAGCTACGCCAGGACTCTCTCAAAAGATTTTCAACTATAATTGGGCCCGGAAAAATCGGTTCTCTGTCCGATATTGTTAGTGTCGACTTTGCCTCGCTGCCAGGGCTCCTGTGGGGCTTTGCATAACTGCCGTCTGATGCGGTGGAAAGCAGTGAACAGCTCCATGTTAATTTTGCTCACAAATTAGATCAAAATGGCTTATTTATAACCCAAAACAGAAGCTCAGCGGCGAGTTTGAGGCCGTGATTTGCTTCATAGACATCCTCCTCACTTTAAAGCTGCTCTTCAGCAGCTCTTTAAGCACAACCATCCCTCAAATTTTCATCTGTCCTTCTGAAAAATGTCTCTCTGGTTCTTTTGAGGCGCACAAATGTTCCCGGGCCTGTGGAGCGGCGACATGACAAACGCTTTCCCATCAGGACAGAGAGGCACCAAGAGACGTTCCTCCTGTCCGTACCACGATAACGAAGACAAACGGCTCCCTGTGACGAAGGTGAAACCACCCGAGGGTTACAGTGTGACACCAGCACGCACATGTGTGCATTCACACTCTCGGACCAGAAATATACTCGCCTTCTGGGAAACGAGACGGAATAAGCCCTTGAGTGTGTGTGTGTGTGTGTGTGTGTGTGTGTGCTTAAGAAGGGTGGGAGATTCCGGAGTCGTTCATGTGTCTTTGTATATGGTGTGTGTAATTGTTTGCTCGTGAGAAGTGAACTTGTGCAACCAATGCGTCTCATAACACATATTCACGGTGTCACCACGAGGCCGCTACTGTTTGTGACGTTTACAGTGTAAGATTTTGAATAACACCAACATTATTGAGCCTATATTGTTAACTCTCTCTTTGAAGTTTGAGACTGGCACAGCTTTTTTTGTTTTCTCTTCTTTTATTCGGCAGATCCCCCGCTTCAAACTAAGCAGGAGTCCCAGTCAGCCTGGCTCACATGATTGTTGTGTAAATGAGGGTCTGAGGCAAGTAGGTAGTATATACAAGCCATCAACGCCCCGTGTCATCAACATGAAATGAGGCGTGAGTTCAACTCCCGCCTGCTTCCAAGTAAAGCCTTCTGCTAGTTTAGAGAATTCACATTATATATTTTTATGATTACATTTCTATGTATCTCTCTGACACACGGACACACACACACACACACACACACACACACACACACACACACAAAAGTCGTCCCCCTGTCGCTCTTCTCACTATTGCTATCAGGGGAGTCATTACTGACTGCTGTTAAGTGCCGATAAAAGCCTCTGTCTCACATGTCCATCCGTTGACCTCTCCCTTGCTATTTAACTACCACAGGAGAAAGTTGTGTGTTTGTGTGTGTGTGTGTGTGTGTGTGTGTGAGGGATTGCATGTGTGCGCCCCAAAAAACTCCAAATAACCCAGCCGGAACGGATCATCCGCCTAGAGAGAACAACAGAGTTCATTTACTGAGAAAAGCTCTCTCGCCCTCCAACGTTTAAGGTATCTGGAGCAGCTAATAGCGACAACCGCCTCAATGAAAAGCTTCTGCCTCCGATAAAGACGTATTGCGAAGGCTGTTGGGTTGATAATGTATTGATTCCACATCCTTCCCATTATCAGAAAGGCCTCAGTGGAGCAGCTACAAAGCAACTGAAAAGGGGAAAGCAATTTAAGGGACCTGATCTGTTTCGTTTGTCTTGAGGAAATAGTCCCTTAGAAAACGTTTCATAGTGAGTTCTTATAAAGACAAACCACGACATTATGTATATAAATACATATTGCTATTTGTTCTGTTATTTAATTACTGAGCTGCCCCTTGTGTAAATGATTCACAGTACTTCTCCTTTATGTAGCACATGTTAAAGGGTCGTCAAAGGCTATCAGAGGGCTTCTTGTTCGGTATCATGTGGCTTTCTGGCCCTTTACCAGCCCATTTTGTTATTTCATTTTGATTTTTTTATAGTTTCGGTTGTCCGTGCGCTAAAATAGCGAAGAGACGTCTGATCTCAAAGGTTGACCACAGCACAGCTGAAGAGATCTCAGTCAGCGGGATGTTTTGTGTCGTCCGACCTCAGTGGAAGCCCCCTGCGGAGTGAAGCGGTTGCATAAACCCAAGCCCAGAAGCAGAGACAAGGACGTACTTATTGACATTAATTACCATGTTGTTGCAAATAGGCCATCTGCGAACAGTGCCAGTCCGCAATCATTTTATCAACAGCACGCCATCACAATGGATTTACTGATGTTTTGCAAAAATACGGGTTGGTCTGCTTTTGGGTTAGATGCAGAAACGTGGCGTGTTACTGCACACGCTGCAGTGAAGGGACAGCCCACTTAACTGTAATCTTGTTGGCATGATGCACCCTCCCGCTCGTCTTGCCGTGTAATGCCGGAGATATCGCACAACGTATCTATATTGTCTGCCGCCTGGACTCCCACAGGTAAACAAATCAGTATTTGGCAGGCAGCTGTTTTTTATGGCTTTTCCTCCGGCGGTTTCTTGGCTCGGTGGGGTGAATATTTCCGTCTTGAGCACGTGACATTGCAGAAGACGCTGCGTGCACGTCGTGGGGTCCGGGTCACGCTCGAATAAGCTCCGCAAATCCCAGAGAGGGCAGGAAGCCTTGCCAGCTGTGAGGTTGTCGAAAAATGATTGATGAAATGTTGCACAAGATTGCATTAATGTGTCATCGTCAGATTAAACTATTTCAGTAAGCGCCTCTTGTCCTGAAGGAAAACACTTTCTTGTGGAGACCGCTATGCCTCCAAAACACCCTCCATCTACTATGTTGTGAAAAGATCAATACGTGGTTTTAATTATGCTTTTTGTGGGATGTAAGCGGAAAGCATAATGTTGCCATGGAGATAGTTAGCGGCTGGCTGCGGCCCTATTTGTTCCTCTTTTGGCAAATTGAAAATGATTAAAAGAATGCTGAACTTGCTATTATCAGTTGCCTGTTTGCATCGTGTCAATGGAAATACAGACAAATAGGGCTAAAACAAATTAAATCTTTTCATTTGATTAATCTCTATTCCACTCCATTATGCATCCTGTTGTTTGGTGTGTAAAATGTCAGAAAATTAATTTTCTTTTACTTAGTAAAGGAACCAGAAAACATCCATATAGATATAAATAGCTACATCACAAATGTCAGAAAATATTTCTCAGGAAATTACTCCAACGGATTAGTTGATTATCTAAACAGTGATTTAATATTTAACAACTAATTGCTTAGTCGTTGCTGCTGTACAGACAAGTATCACTCAATACTTTAATCATGAAGAATTTTTGGATTTGTGTTTGTTACATGTAACAATATTTATGCTTGTTAATGGGTGTTAAATATGCGTATCTTAAGTTAATACAAAAAGAGTAAATATGTGTCTGAAGTTGAACTTTATATTTTAGTCCGTTACTTGCCTCTCACCTCACGCAGTAACTTTGGCTCATGTCTCAAAGTCCCCCCCCCCTGTGGAAATAGAAACCATTCAAAGACAAGTTTAGAAACTACTGGATTAGGATATCAGGAAAAAGCGCTCCTGCAGTTTGCTTTGGATGTGAGCATCATAAAGATTCCTACCTCTATAAGAATACCGTCTTTAAGGTCATACAAAGCCGCCATGTTTGTCAAGTCGCTCTCTTTGCGGCAGCAACATCGCTGCAGAATCCTTCGTCTCACTCGTATGTGTTAATTGCTTCCTTCAAGTGTCTTTGAACCTCTCCCCTCTCGATAATGACTTCTTTTAAAGATATGAAGTTGGACATGACAGAACAAAGACGCTGAAGGACACGGAGAACACAGAATACCAAACTTGTACCTTATCTCCTCTAATTCAGAACAGTTAGAAATGCAAAATATTTAAACTCGTCTCTCCGGCCTTCTTATCTCTCTCTGTCTTTCCAGAGAATGTGTGATTTATAGTCTTTATTTCGATGCAAATATTGACCACGGCTGTTTGATTAGCAGCCTTTTGATAAATCTGTAAACTACACGGGAGGCGTGTATCACATTGGACATTGGACAATAGCAAAGGCCATAAAACCCAGCAGAGCATCGTGTTTCGTATTCGCACAAGCGCACGCTGGAATCTTGCACTGCGCTCTGTGAGTTCGGGGAGTTGGTGTGAGGAAGTATCAGTATGTAAGACGCTGTATAGCACCTTGTTTGTATGCCTCACACTCGGATTTTTGTTTGCCTGTCACGCACACCTTGCTTTCTTGCTCTTTTAATTCGTTGTCTTCGTTTTAGTTTCTCTCACCACAGCCAGCCCCCTTTTAATAAACCGATCCCTCCAGAGGGCCCAGTGTCCCTGCATCGCCTCATTAATTATGGAGCCAGAGGAGGACGTAGCCAGAGGCTAAAAGTTTTGCACAGAAAGTTCGGCCTCGACATTTCACTTAGGAATTTAGGAACAGCAGCTCTCAACCTCATCTATTGTGAAGGAGCGGCAGCAGCGTTTAACCAGCGCAGCTCTTCCTTTTTACAGAGAGCTCAATCAAGGCGACGGTGTTCTTACCGTCTTTTGTCTGAGTGACACACATCTCCAGGGGAAATGTTTTTGGAGCGAGTCCAGTGATGCGAGAACAATTGTAAGCAGATACGATCTGAAATGTTGTGAAAAAGACTCCGCACCTTGAATGGGACGTGGTTTTAACTTGATACTGGTAAGCATTACGCAGTGGTGGTGTGATTCTTCTGAACAAACAGGTTTTGTTCTGAAATGCTCAACAGGTCGGAGCTATATTTAAACCTTTTTCCCAGGCCATTAAAAAGTTGTGTTTTTAAATGGCGGCCGACTGCATGCGTCTCACAGGCCAGTAAGCGTGATGGAAAGACACAGCGCCGTTGACTGTTCCAGTAGGGAAACCAGTTCACAGGCCATCGGCCCCCAAAGATCCATCAGAGGCAGATTCACCCGATGGCTGTTTGTCTTATTGTACAACTCTACTGGTGCTCCTGCCTGATCGATACCTTCAAGTAACTTATATACCATAGCGGGGGGGGACTGGAGCCGCTGGGTGAAGCTGGGGGCCAGGAAGCACAGCCCGGCGTGGGTGTACTTACACACACACACACACACAGTGTCAACCCCTATAAATAAGTTAAAGTCACTCACCTTCTATAAATAAAGTTCTGGTTGTTCTGGAGACATTCAAGCGTGTCGGTTTTCTGAAGGACTGAAGATGTAAAAGCGTACTGATGTTAGAATGAGTGTGAGTGGGATTATATGAGTATTTATTATTGATGGGACTTAGTGTTCCTGTCTAGATCCCACTTATGTTTCTGCATGTAGACGTTTCTGCTCCGTGTTCAAATACGCTTTTCTTTTTGCGGTTTAAATAGATGTGCAGCACTTCACACACGATGATATGGGTACTACGGTGTTCCTTAGACCCCCCCCACCCGTGAGATTGCATGGACGAGCCGGTGGGTCACAACACAGGCCATTATGCTGTCTAAAGTCGGGGGGGCTGCATTCCTTCACAGGGCTCACATTTCCAGCTCCTACAA